CTGCTGAGGTTTCATTGGATAGAGAACGTGAGTTCCGCGCAGAGGTCGAAAGACACTCCGGGATGAATATGGACTTCGTCGCAAGTTCATCACCACGCGTAACCCCAAGCCAACTCTATGGTCGAGCGTGCTCATCAAACCATACGTACTTTGATCGCTGTTCAAAACATCAAGTGCCAAGACGACCTCTGTATGGATCCTGGGATGGAGTCCTCACGGCGGCGCTTTGCAATGAATCCACGATTCATACCACCTTGCGTGCAACGCCGCGCAGCTCGTGTTCAATCGTGACGCGATTCACAAACGTCCGGTTCGAAGCCAACTGGAAGTACATTAAGGAACGTCGCCAACGACTAATCCAACAAAACAACGATAGGGAAAACGCACGCGTGTCCCTCATCAATACAATGTCAACGATACTGTGATGATTCAACAGTATCAGCACCGCAATACGGTCAGCCAAAGTACAAAGGTCCTTACACATTAGACCGAGTCAATGACATGGCACTGTACGGCTCCAACATGCTACCGCCAACGGCGGCACAGTCTACCAGACTTGGAACATAAGGTATATAACCCATACAAGGCCTGATCCCCTTGTAGGATTGCCATCGTGCGACGCACATGTCTACATCCAAATCTCATGAGAGTCCCCGCACTTTAAATCATATGTTCTCCTTGTCCGACTGCTGTCGCGCCTTCTGTGACCTTGTCAGGGGGCGAATGCAATACACGGCTCTTAGCCTTATTCGCGACTCGATCCTAGATAGGGTTTGAGTTCGACTCATGACTGAGTCTCTCGTGAATAGTCATTTGAGACAGGGTTCTCAATGACCGCGCTAGTCATACTAGGTTGATGATGAAACATCGCTCTAGATATTTAGCCAGCGGGAGTACTTCCACGCTACTAGATCCAGGCTAGACAAACCTTCCACGCGTTCCGTTTAGGATCGTGGAGAGACGTAGGATTACTACACAACCTCTCTATCACACTTTATAGTCTCCCGCGGGAAGCCAGAATCTACGATCTTTGATGATGACTCTCTCTCGTTGATTAGTTTTCATAGCTTTCTAATCTCTCTCATAACTTTCATTCTCTCAAACTCAAAACACTCGAAAGATCTTACACTAGCTTTTAGCGTAGTGCAACTCGTTGCCGGTATCTTGCATGGATCCTTATGACGAATAGACACATGCACAACCGAAATTTGAATCCACCCATGTTGCCGGCTGCGGTATAGCTACGTCGACGACAGTGGCAACAGTACCGAAAGTCCGGCTTTGCTCACTACGGTTACGGTACCTCACATTGGATCCTTATGACGAATACATGCACAACAGAATATTGTCAATCCAGCCATTGTAGCCAGTTACCGTAGAGTTACATCAATCGGCGACAGTGGCAACAGTACCGAACACACTCAGGTTCCGTTTTACTAGCTACACTCCGTTACCGGTACCTTGCATTGGATCCTTATGATGAATACATACACAACCGAACATTGTCAATCCAGCCATCGTAGCCAGCTATCGTAGAGTTCATCGATCGGTAATAGTGGCAACAGTACGAACACACTCAGGTTCGACTTTGCTCGCTGCACTCGGTTACCTCGCATTGGATCTTATGACAAACATGCACAACCGAATATTGTCAATCCAGCCATTGTAGCCAGCTGTCGTATAGGCGTATAGCTAGTGGCAACAGTACTTGACTTGCGCATACAGGAAAATGGGTACCAACACAGGAATCACCACCAAAACAGTAGGAAATAACAAGAAGGGATGAATCCGGTAGGAGGATCCACTCTCTTGTGTGTTGTTGCCTCTTCCGGTGGCTGTTGCCTTTCAATGACTCGACGACGATAGGCTCCTCTGTTCAGGCTGTTGGTAGGGCTGGAGTTAACAGAGAGCCTCCTCCTCCGTAGCGGTAGCCTCTCCTCTTGTTATCCGGAGCGATCTATCGTCAACAATGGTAGTTCCTCGGCCGTCAGCAGTAAGAGAACAGAAAGTAAGATATAGATATGGTTTTCTCTTCCATTCTGATACTGTGGACGACCGGAGACTTACCCTTGTTTTTCAACTTGCACCAACTTGGCCGTCATGGGCCGAGAAATGATTGCCATCCCATGGTCCATAGGATTCAATGAGGGATGGCTTTCGCTTCTGTACCAGAGTCAACCGGCTTGAATGAGGGTTGGATATCAGAGATAATAGAGATGCGATCGATCGATTCGAATAATTAAACAACTCACCTGTTGACGGCCGAGAACTGACTGCCTGCCCATGGTCCATAGAAATTCAATGAGGGATGGCTTTCGAATCTGCACCTTCAATAACACTCTTGATTATAGGTATGCTTACCTCCGTACCAGTCGTTCGATTGATCGATCGATCGATCGATCGATTCAACACCGCTCTTGTCGGCCAAGCTCGGATTTCTCTCCTGTTTGCCATAGCAATTCAATGAGGGAGAGATGTCAGGTCTGCACTTGAACCTGAGAATTTGGCTGGACCTGTACCGGTACCGGTACGTGCGCATGCGATTGAATTATTTTAACCTTAACCTTAGAACCTTCAATGGTTCTTTTTATCCACGAATCGATCTAAACGTTAAAACACGTTAAGTACAGGTTTGGTACTTACGGATACACATGACCGTTGATTCTGCAACTGAAGTGCCGGTACTCTAATTTACACAGTAAACGCCGGCAAATCGATTCCGGAGTGCAACTGAGGGGGAAACCAAAAGGAGCGTGGTCTGGGAGACCAAATACTAGTCAAATACGTAGACTTCTACAGAGGCCTCTAAGTATTGCACGCCGGGTATAATTCAAACCTCTGCCCCCAACAGTACCCTTACCCCTAAAGCAAGTCGTCTCCGGGAGACGAAATTGCAGAAACAGGATTTACGCCACTAATTCTGCGTGTCCCGCACTGAATGATTCACAGCCTCAAACACGCCCCGCCGCAATGGTCGATCCGGATCCGCCGTCGACAACCACAATGGCACTTTTGGGCATCAGGTGACGGGACAATCAGTGGATACCGTACATAGAGCTACAGATCAGACCAGCCAAACAGATCGGTAGTATCGTTGTCACGTCCTTGTTTGTAAGTGCATGCGCAGTAGGGAGAGGGGAATCAGGCTTTTCCAGCTAGGTACATGGTAGAATGTTGATATACCCGTTCCTTTGGCCGTTGTCTCGGTCCGTTCTTAAGATTGCTATTGATACTGGTTATTGGAAGCATCCGTTCTGTTTGGCAGACAAGAAGGAATGCTTGTCAGAGCAATTGTGTGCCGCTCGTTTGGTATCATAGTCTTGGGTTTTGTTTAGGGGCATTTTGGTCTTTGTGGGGTATACAAGCCATGCCATCCACTGGGTGATAAAGCCATCCTTTTTGCAGTCCTTGTTTTCTGCGCGTGGATTGATTTGCGTATACACTTACTTGAATTGAAGCGAATTTATCCCCTTGGTGCAATGGTTTTCTCTCTAACCTTCTTATTGACGTTTCCTGCCAGGGCACAATCCAACACTGCTTTTGCTTGTCGAGTTTTGCGGGCTTCAATTCTATATATCACGCACACAATCCTCAATCTACCACACGATAATTGGCAATACAATACAACAATAAACTGCCAAAATGGACGAAGATGATGTTGATATGATGGAGGAGCAGGAAGAAGAAGAAGACGCCGACATGGCGGAGCAGCAAGAAGGAGAAGGAATGGGAGAGGATGAATATGCCAATTACCAGGATCTACCCGTCAGTCAAGAAGATGCATGGGCTGTCATTAGTGCCTACTTTGAAGAAAAGGGATTGGTCCGACAGCAACTCGATAGTTTTGATGAGTAAGTATATTTATTCAATCCCTACTTTGGTTTGGTTGGATTGGGCTTGCGTTTGTCACCTCCTTCATCTCAATCAATCCTTATTTATCGTCACTTTCCAATAACAAAATAAAGGTTCATTCAGAATACCATGCAGGAGTTGGTGGATGATTCGGGAGCTATCCGAGTCAGCCCCGAGTACCAGCACACTGTGGGGTATGATGAGGATCAGTACGATGACCACTTGGCGGGAGAACAAAAGGCCGTCTTCTCCATTGCATTTGGACAGGTTTACTTGAGTAAGCCAACAAATGTGGAAAAGGATGGAACCGTCACAAACATGTTCCCACACGAAGCAAGGCTGCGAAACTTGACGTACAGTGCTCCCCTCTACGTCGATGTCTCTCTCAATCAGTACAGTTGTGCCAAGGAAGTCAACATTGCGGATCCGGCTTCCGAAGAGTTGATGGGAGATGCTATCACAACCGAGCATGCCAAGAAGGAATTCTTGGGGTAAGATCAATGCTGCTAGTTTTCTCTCTGTGTGCTTGTTACTGTCATGTCTCTAACTCTTTCGTTTGTCTTGGAAAGGTATGTACCCATCATGCTTCGGTCCCTCTTTTGTGTGCTGAGTGATAAGGACGATGCCGATTTGAGTGATCTGGGTGAATGCATTTACGATCAAGGCGGTTACTTTGTAATCAACGGATCGGAAAAGGTCATGATTGCCCAAGAGAGGCTCTCCAACAACCACGTATACGCCTTTGAAAAGAAACAACCATCCAAATTCAGTTGGGTCATTGAAACACGTAGTCAGGTCGAAGGATCGAGTCGACCCGTCTCGACGCTTTATCTGCAAATGTATCAAAAGGGGGGTGGTCGTGGATCACTGGAAGGAAACCAGATCCGTTCCACGCTTCCCTACATTCGTACTGATATCCCAATTGTCATTATCTTTCGGGCGCTTGGTTATGTTGCTGATCGGGATATCATTGAGCATGCCGTTTACGATTTGACTGACGGAGAAATGATGGACCTGTTCCGGCCTTCCCTTGAGGAGGCATTTGTCATTCAAAGACAAGATGTGGCCCTCGATTTCATTGGACGCCGTGGATCTGCTCGAGATGTTACCAAGGACGACCGTATCCGCTACGCCTCTGGAATTCTCCAAAAGGAAGTGTTGCCGCATGTGGGCACGGAAGAACATTGCGAGACGAAGAAGGGATTCTTCCTCGGATATGCCGTTCACAAGTTGCTGTCGTGCAAGCTTGGTCGGGCCGAGGAAGATGACCGTGATCATTTTGGAAAGAAAAGATTGGATCTTGCCGGACCCTTGTTAGGAGGATTGTTCAGAATTTTGTTCCGGAAATTGACGCTGGATGTACGAAAACATTTGCAACGATGCCTGGACGAAGGCAAGCACTTTAATACGGGTGCTGCCATCAAGTCCAATCATATCACTGATGGGCTCAAGTACTCGCTGGCCACTGGAAACTGTAAGTGCATGCGTGTTTGTATGGTTTTGTCTTCGGTGGAGATCCTTGTGTTATGAGCATGAGCACAGCTTTAACCCGATCATTGCATCTTTCTTGTGTGTGTAGGGGGGGATCGAGGATCTGCTGCGTCAAAGGCCGGTGTTAGCCAGGTGCTCAATCGCCTCACGTATGCTTCCAGTCTGAGTCACTTGCGACGATGCAACACTCCGTTGGCCAGAACAGGAAAGCAGGCAAAGCCACGACAGCTGCACAATACACATTGGGGCATGGTTTGCCCTGCCGAAACGCCCGAAGGTCAGGCTGTCGGATTGGTTAAGAATCTTGCACTGATGGCTTACATCACTACGGGAACAGCACAAGTTCCCGTGTTGGAGTTTTTGGAAGAATTCTCCACTGAAAACCTTACCGATATCTTGCCGTCTGTCATTGCGGAGCCCAACACGTGCAAGATCTTTGTGAACGGAAACTGGGTAGGAATTCATCGCGATCCAAAGGCCCTTGTGGATACCTTCCGATCCCTCCGTCGAATGGTGGACATTGATGCCGAAGTTAGTATCGTCCGTGATATCTCTCAGAAGGAGGTTCGCATCTACACTGATGCCGGGCGTATCTGTCGTCCATTGTTTGTGGTACAAGACCAACAACTGTGCATTCAACGACAACACATCTTGCAGTTGCAAGGGTTGAGCATGGTTGAAGGCGGAGAAGAGGGCGTAGGCGGCGCCGAGGCCAGCGCGAAACGGCTCACCTGGACAGACCTCCTCATGGAAGGTTTGGTGGAATACATTGACACTGAAGAAGAAGAAACGACAATGATTGCCATGGAGCCAAAGGATTTGGATTCGGAGGACTCCTACTCCAGCACTTACACGCATTGCGAGATTCATCCAAGCATGATCCTTGGGGTGTGCGCTAGTATCATTCCATTTCCAGATCACAATCAGAGTCCGAGAAATACGTATCAAAGGTACATGGGAACGTGGATGATGCGGGCGAATTGTCGGTGGTTCAACTAACGCTTGACTCCTTCGTGTTTTTCAGTGCCATGGGAAAGCAAGCCATGGGCATCTATGCTTCAAACTATCAAGTGCGTATGGACACAATGGCGCACGTTTTGCATTATCCCCAAAAGCCTCTCTGTACAACTCGTGCTATGGAGTTCTTGCACTTTCGAGAGTTGCCTAGTGGCGTGAATTGTATCGTCGGCATTATGATTTACACCGGATACAACCAAGAAGATTCTTTGATTATGAACCAATCCGCCATCGACCGAGGTCTCTTCCGCTCTAGCTACTACAGGTGCTACATTGACCAAGAGAAGGCTAGTAGCATGGGGTCCAGTGCCAACTCGGAAATATTTGAAAAGCCCAGCTTGGATTCGACGCGCGGTATGAAGCATGGCGAGTACGGCAAGCTTGACGATGATGGCTTGGTCGCTCCGGGAACTCGTGTGTCGGGGTCGGACATTCTCATTGGGAAAACGGCGCCATTGGACGGTGGTGGGCATACCGGTCCCAGTCGCTACACGAAGAGAGACTGCAGTACCAGTATGAAAGCCAACGAAAACGGTATCGTGGACAATGTGATGGTTAGCACAACAAAGGAGGGGTATCGTTTCACAAAAGTGCGCATCAGGAATGTCCGTGTGCCGCAAGGTAGGCGCCTGAAGTTACATTCTGATGATTGCTTGGTTCCATCATCTCATCTTTCCTTTTGCCCGTCTCATGCAGTCGGTGATAAGTTTGCTTCTCGCCACGGACAAAAGGGAACTATTGGAATGACCTACCGACAGGAGGACATGCCGTTTTCATGCGAAGGGATCGTCCCTGACATTATTGTCAACCCACACGCCATTCCTTCCCGTATGACTATCGCCCAGCTCATTGGTAAGTCGATGTTGTGTGAGGGTCCAGCTTTCGTCCGGGAAAGCATCTCACTTTGTTGGTTTAGAGTGTATTCTTGGTAAGGTTGTTGTGTTCCAAGGGTGTGAGGGCGACGCAACGCCATTTACGGATGTAACGGTGGAAGATGTTTCGACACGTTTGCATTCCATGGGCTACCAGCGTCACGGCAATGAAGCTGTGTATCAAGGACACACGGGCCGCTTCTTGAATGCCCGAGTCTTTTTGGGGCCAACATTCTACCAACGCCTCAAGCATTTAGTCGATGACAAGGTGCATAGCCGTGCCCGTGGTCCTGTGGCAATGTTGACACGACAGCCTCTGGAGGGAAGAAGTCGCGACGGTGGTCTTCGCATGGGGGAGATGGAACGTGATTGTCTGATTACACATGGTTGTGCCAACTTTATGCGAGATCGATTCTTCTGCAACTCGGATCAGTACCGAATCCACATTTGTGAACGCTGCGGCCTTACCGCACAATCGAACTTGAAGAAAATGACCTATGAATGCCGAACTCCCATGTGCGTGGGTCGACCCACCAAGATTTGCCAGATCGAGATTCCTTACGCCTGCAAACTTCTCTTTCAAGAAATGATGTCCATGTGCATCAGCACTCGAATCTACACATCCATTAAGCAGCAGAACTAGGATACTGCGATGAGGTGCATGGCAACCGTACTAGTTCGCACTGAGTTAAATCGATCCTTTGCGTTTCTTCCAAAACTAATCATAGCCAATCTGCCCTATGCTATCTCGTGCCGTAATAGACTGCTTTGGCTTTTTTTCTGTATAAATTATGAACTATGATGCTTCTGGTATGGTAGCAAACAGGGCCGGTGGTCCAGTATGACTGTGTACCTGTCAGAAGGATCCTGGCATACTAAGATCCCCTCCAGGTACCGTATACCAAGACCTCTCTTGGCATCCTTACAGCCTACCGGTATTGTCCTATTGCACAATCTATTTCCACACTATTGTTCCCGCACTCCTATTCCTACTACAACCGAAATAATTGTTCGTTGTGATACCGCTTTTCCAACAATGCTCTTGCTGTCATGACTTTTCTCTCGTTGGCAATCTCTGCAGTCGGTTCAGAAAGAGTCTGATCGAGCGACCCTCGTATGCATTCGTCAAAACACCCAAATGGACGACCTTTCTGACGGCATCGTTCATGATTGGCTTGAGCAGCGAGAAGAATACATTGGCCACCAACGGAGATCTAACCCAGGAAATCTCATGAAATTTGGCTGGATACGCCCCCGCATGTTCGTACCATAACCTCCGTTCAAAGTCCAAACAAAAGTTGTGCCACCCCATACCCTCACATTCCATAATCCCCAAGACACCGTTCCGGACGGCCGATAATGTTGGGTTGAGCGCGGACAAGTAGTAATGTATGCCAGATAGAAACACCTTCCAATCTTTCGGCAAATATACTTTTCGTGGATTGAATTTGGCAAAGTCAATGACATGGACAAAGTGGTTGTGTCGGACGCATTGATCCAGATTGAGAGAAAATCCGGGTTGCTGTTCCATAAAGTCTCGAATGCATTGCTCGCCTTGTTCTACCGTGTCTTCAATCTGATATTTTAGTCGAAATTCGTGCATTCGTTTGATGCGTTCAATGGCTTTTTCGATATTCCCTTCTTCCACGATGGCATGTTGCACCAGTTCCATGTTGGAAATTGTAATGTGACCGCAATCCTCTCTTTGCTCGAGGGCTTCCTGCAGGGTCTCCGCCCACTGACGTTCTTCCGCCGTAATCACCATGAGAATACCCAATCCTTCTTCTTCCTCATCGTCGTCTCGTGACTTGCGTTTCTTCGAACGAGCATTATAGTCATTATTATCATCATCATCGTCGTCTTCCGCTCTTGCGGCATGGTCTTCTTCGTCGTTCCACAACAGACCCTCAGTATCGGTCTCGTTTTCGTCGTCATCCGACTGCCAGGCAAGCTCATCTTGCCCGTCGCGTACGACCTGGATTTCTTCCATGGTGCTGGGGATGAATGAATCGATCTATCTGTCTATCTGAAACTAACTAACTGGCTAGTAACTGGGTGTGGTGGCAGACAAGAGAGAGGTGGACGAAAAGAGAGAGAGAAGGGCTGCACGGTACGGCTCCATGTGGGTGTTGCTCAATTAATTATTAATTGCAAATGGTCAAATTGGCTACGGTACCGTACTGTTGGAGGTGAACAAAAGGTTGGAAGCAGCGTGTCTCAAATGAAATAAGTCTTCCGTAGAACAGGAATTTCCAAGGATTTAAGAAAAAGCCAGTTCACTTCCACCTCGAACTGGCAAGGCAGACATTGGTGGTTGAAGGAAGACCTCAAAGCTGCGTACAGTACTCTCATTTACAGTCAGTTCTTGACTATATTTATATGGGGGTAATACGGATTCCTATAAATATACTAGAGAATATAAATATAGGCTCTATTTACTAGTAAAGTACGCGTGGAGAGTGCCGTCACGTTTTTGTTTGGCAGCCTTTGCTCCCCTAGCCATATTCAATGCCCTTGCAAACCTGTCAAGATGAACGGTGGCAGCCGGGTTCACACCCAAACTGGAGGCACTGAGTGAGAGCTTGTTGAGTGCCTCTATCGACATGCATTGGCATTTACACGTACGTCGATCGATTTGGAGTGTTTGGAATGGATTGCGAGCCATTGTTTTGCTGCTACGAGATTTGCGAAGGGTACGTACACATGCACTGAAGTCAGTCACGGTCACTCGTGACTCAGGGGGGAACATCGAAATTCCATAAATATACTGGAGAATATAAATATACGTTTATAAATATAATCGCGAACACACTGTACTAGCTAGTATTTGTTATGGGGAAACGAGAAAGCATCTACTCAGTAACTATCATGGTCTCAGATCTACAGTGCGGTACGAGTACCTGCAGTTATCTGCCGGCTGCGGTTGGTAGACAGTTTCGTTCATTGGAAGGTCGTTTGCCGCTGTTACTAGCTAGCTAGTACCAAGAAACAATGAGGCGACCTGGACTGGCTAGTAGCTACCGCTAGCTGGGCGTCGGACAACCTAAAGTTATCCCCGAGCATACTTGAAAATGAATAAAAGTTTACAGTTGTTCATGTAACTACTGTGGGTGAACTGAACCGACACGGGTCCCCCTGCCCTGCAATGTACAGCTAGGGCATTTTATTTTCTGTGGATTCAGCCGCCAATGCTTGCTTGTGCACAGCCTTTTGTGTGCGTGTGGATCCCAACGAGAAAGAGAGTAGTTTAGATTTGGGATGGTCGTCGGAACAAGGCGGCGGCTGCCGCTTGTCGCTGCAAGAGATCCGCCGATGTGAACAAGGCAGGATTGATGGGAAGCGACGACCGGCGAGGAGCCAGCGGTGCCAAGTGATGAGGCACGGGGCGATGAATCGGAGGCATACTGGGTCGCATGCGGAAGGCCGCCATGTTGGGTTGATGGTGATGCGCAAACATGGGAGCAGCAACAGCAGTGGGGGGAGCAGCTCCAGCCGCCGGCAATCCAAAGTGAAGCATAGAGCGACGGGCAAATCCAATTTGACCGGGACCTGGTCGTTTGCTGAACATGGCCATGTTATCCAACATGGCTGGAGCTGCCTGGGGAGGACTAATGGGGGGCGATGCTCCTGCTGTTGTCGATGCCACGACAGAGGGTCTCTTGGGGATGGTTTGGTTGGCTGCTTCGGCAGCTGCTACCAGAGCTGGTTCTGGCGTGTTGGGAGAAGAAGGACTGGACGCCCCGGATTGGAGGACCGACGTGGGGGAGGATCCACGGCGGCGCTTGATAATATCCAAGATGGCGTTGTGCTTCTTCTCAAAAGAGCGGCGCTTTCTCTTGTAAGGGTTGCTGGAAGAGTAAGAGTCTCCCATGGCGTCACGGAATGTTTGAGAGATCTTTTCTCGGGCACTGTAGGTCAAAGGAAAGAAAGATAATGGATCGTGTGAGATAATGTTGGTTCGGATAATGGGTACACGCCAATCAGAACATAACAGGGTAATACTTACAGAAAGTCTCCCACTTCATACCATCGGTTCTTGGACTTGTCAAACTTGACAAAGCCCCCATCCGGGCTGCTCTTGCGGATTTGCGTGACAATCTCCTTGATAATGTACGACTTTTCGTCCTTGTTGCTACCCGCCGCCGAGTACTCGGGGATCATGAATTCAATCAATCCTCGCAACCGCTGATTGCCGCCGTGAGTGCGAGCTCGCTTTCCACGACCAATCACTACATCGGTATCCGAGGGTTCAAAGTCCTTGGGGAGGATTGTCATTTCTCGAACCTTTTGAGCCTCTCGTTCTTGACGGTGTTTGCTGACCGCAGTAGTAGTGACAGGAGTTGTTGTCGTTTTTGCAGTAGAGGCAACAACGGATTTATCTTCGGCGGTGGCCGTCTTCCTCATGGCCATGGCAGCCAACAATTGTGGTGAGAAAGACATCTTCTTTTTTGGTGGATGGATGGGTAGCAAGAAAAAGAAACAGGTAAAAGGAACAGCCAGATAATGGATTCCGAGATAATGATCTCTAAAAGAGGATGCTTGACACACACAACCAAGACAGCAGACACAGCAGAAACAATGCGATGGTGTGCGTTGGGCAAAATTGTAACAAAGGGAAACGATTGGATTCTACTGGGAAACATAGGGCTTCACTTTTTGAAGGTCTCCAAGCGGTACACGGTGCAGTTTATACGAGACGCTACGAACGAGATACCCAGCGAGGAACAGCTATAGAATCCAGAAATTAACCAGTGGGTTACAAGGGAGTTGGTAACGTTGAAAGATTGAATCTCAATTTTCGATGCAAAAAGGAAATAATCAAAATATTTATGCATTTGTTGCATCAATTACAAGTATTTCAGGCAAATTACTAAGATATAAACTACATTTTGACCCATTTGAGACATTGCAATTGTTGGCGACAACAATATCATCAAACTCAAGGTAAAAGATCGTAGTGTACCAATTTAGAGTTATAAGTAATTCTTGGCGATGCTTGTAAGTAGATATTTGAATGGGCATTCCTTCTTTACCATCGAATAAGCAGAATCCGTGGTATCTTTCTCCAATTAGCAACTCGTGTCTGACGGCGAAAGGCACGGGACATTATCATTCGGCTCACTCGGTTAGAGGCCGCGGGAACCTGCCCTCGAGCACTGGTTACCGAGGCAAGAATGATGAAGACGCCGTCTCACATCAAGTCAAGGAAAATGACCAATCTAGGGAACATTTTTTGATAAGGAACAGGCACATCAGGAGATCATGTTAAATGTTGCTGGGCCCATCGGGATAAGGGAAACTGGTTGGGGGTGAGTTGGGGCTTTGTAATCTTAGCTAAACTACTTCAACTGCTTACACTAAATTTTTGTCTAAATTTTGTCATGACACCATCTGATGACCCCAAGGCACGCCCTAATGGTTAATTATTCCTTGATGGGTGTCTCACATTTCCAAGATACGATGACTCGAATCACGATCAAGACAGCTATCGAGACTAGTAGACCAACTCTGAGTAGTTGTGGATTAGGGCACGAGTGTATCATTGCAAGATACAGTGTGCTAGCACAGCGAGCCAGTAGTATGAGCGTAAGAGCCAACAAGAATCTGATAGATATGCCCTTCGGGGTTATCCGTGACTTGCATCCACGTACCACCAGTGACCAGTGACAACCGCAACATGAGCTCGGTCAAGGTTTTGCATTATTGGCCTCGTGTGTTGCCACCGGTACGGTACCGGTAGGTACATCCCACCTTGTCGATTGCCAATTCTAACGAACCGCGGGAAAGGACATCGACCTTCACTCGGCTCATCATTGGCGGCGCTACCCGTACCAGTGGCTGCATCAAATCTGTGCAGAAGCTTGGGTCCAGAAATTCCGTAGAGATTTGAAGAAGGAATTCTAAAGAGGTGCTCAACAATTTTTCCAGAGGCAGTCATCCTGTCAACAATCTTTTTTCCCCAAAACCAATCAGCAATGTGAATGGGCTGGAAGGATAGATACCTGGTACCAGTACCCGTAGAAATGAATTGTTGGTGGCCCGAACAAAGGTCAAAGCAATCCAGCCAAAAATGATGCAGCACCATGTAAGTGGATGTCATTCAGTCAGCAGTTGGGCATCACTAACTAAAAGAGAGAGAGATACAGGTAGCACACAGGTACAGTTCAAGGCGATGCCGACAACAAGAGATACTCAGTACTAGCTACTAGTAGATGACAACACGAAGGAGCATGCTTCAGAGGACGGTCAGAAGGAAACGTTTTTGCGCCATTTTTTCAACAAAGACATGGCCCTGCTGCGCTTAGGCCGGTCTCTACCGGAGCGACTAAAGTAGCGACTAAGCCATATTTTGTAGTTTAGTCCATAGTTTAGTCTCTTGGGGTGGTGTCTACCCAAGCCACTAAACCTCATACGGACTAAAGCCTTTAGTCGAAAAGTTGGTTCACCGACTAACCGGAGGCTGGTTAGTCCGTGAGCGAGCGTAAGGACTAAAGCTTGTTTAAGAACTCTTTAAAAAAAGAACAGCACTTTTAAAAAAAGAACAGCACTTTTAAAAAAGAATAGCACCCTCATTGCACAGCCTCACTATCAGAGCATCGCGACAGAGCTGATAGAGTAGAGGTGCGATCGAAGAGGAGTACGGTATCGGCCGATAGTACGGTATCGGCCGATAGTAGAGGAGTATCGGCCGATAGTAGAGGTGCAAATGATCGAACGATCGAACGATGGAACGATCGAAGAGGAGTATCGGCCGCACCTCTATCGCACTTTATCAAGCCGACAGTCTTCGGTTGAGAATAGAAAGCCATCCCTCATTGCAGAGTATGGAGTGCGGGATGGCTTTCATTTCTCGGCCTTTGACTGAATGATAGTAGAGGTGCAAACGATCGAACGATGGAATGACAGAGGAGAGGTGCATCGCAATGGTGTGTTTTGAGTCTTGTTATCTCAGTCTTGTTATCTCAAAAAGTAATCACTTCTGTTAAGTCTTTGTTTGAGTCCTTTAAATCCACCATGCTGATAGAATATTGGTAGCCCACCAAGTGATCACTTTTGTTAAATCTTTTTTGAGTCCTTTAAGTCCAGCACCCTGCAATGGATTTAGTCGCGGTGTTTGTTTAGTCGCCACGGTAGACACCACGTTTTGACTAAAAACTCGACTAAATTGTTTAGTCCGAGATTTAGTCATCTGCTGGTAGACACCACCATTACTAAAGGATAATGACTAAATCTTGAACTAAACAACCACCTAAAGGATTCCTTTAGTCGCTACTTTAGTCGCTCCGGTAGAGACCGGCCTTAGCAATAATCATTTCAACTTTTGAGCTTTCTCAAAAGGACCAAATAAAGGGGGTACCCAACGGTTTATCTTGCAGAGGAGATTCCGCTGGTCCTAGTCGGCATGAATTAGTAAGGTCTATGCTGAATGGACCAAAGCCGACAAGGGCTATCGGTATGGCACTATGGCATCATTCTTGGAGAGAGGAGAGTGGGAACAATTGCAAGGCAACAGTGCAGAGCTTGCATCAAGAAAAAACTGGACATTGTGGAGTTGTCTGGATAGTTGTAAGGAGACCGCAAGAACGCAAGAAAACAGATGGCAAGGAGAAATTGAGTAGCCTGGACCTTCTTCTTCCAATTTCAAGCAACTCCTCGAGCCCATTCCCACTATTCTCATGTCTCATGTCTCGTTCAAGCAATGCCTCCACAGCTCTCTAATTTCGCCTCTTCTCTGCCTACTCCTAAGCCTGAATGGCAAGGAGAAATTGAATAGCTGGGCCTTCTTCAATTTCAAGCAACTCCTCGAGCCCTTTCCCACTATTCTCATGTCTCGTTCAAGCAATGCCTCCACAGCTCTCTAATTTCGCCTCTTCTTTGCCTACTCCTTAGAAGCCTGGCTTCCGGCCTCCATTGATAACTTCCCTACTCTCAACCGGTGCATGTAGAATGCGTACATACCAGATAGACACCAGGTACTAGCTAGTAGGCTTCTAGTACATGTACCACCGGTAGATGGATGGTTCATCAGGAGCTGTTCATGGATCCTTTCCTCCAAAGGGGGGAAGCTGAGGTACGGTTCTTATAAAGGAGTACTGAAATTTGACATAAAATTTAAACTGACTAGACTGGCTCGATTACAAGACTGACAGGCGCTCATCGCCAAGGAGTACTGAAAAGACACAGTGAGCAAAGGGACTCAACTGCTACCAATCCGTCATAGTGTCACACTGGAGGTGCGCCGTACCTCCAAAGTCCTCTCGCGAACATGCCCTCACAATTTGATTTCCGTGTCAAGTGGAGTCATTGGATACCACTAAACCAAAGCTGCTACATCACCATGTTGTTCACTGCCAGTCATGTATTCAAAGAGTGGCTTGACCAGCATAACGCATACCCTTTCAATGAGTTGAGGAAAACCAGGCAGACTTATATGTGCAAGCATGTTTTGCTGGAGGATCAAACAGACAGGGAAGATCCCAAAACCCAGTACTATCTTGTGAAGACCAGATACCTGTCCAGTGGCATCCTGGAGCAACTCATCATGGAAGGGAATGCGCTGCCCATGACTCCTGATCAGACTTGGCTCTTGGAACAGATGTTTGTGTGGGGTGTCAGGCACAGCAATGAATGGTACAGTGAAGTTCTTGCTGAGCTTGCATGGGAAGTGTATGAGCATGAACCTGTTACAAGGAAAGAGATGTGCAGAGAGGCAATCAAACCACTTATGAGAGGTGCCCTTCACCAGCAAGGTATTGGTGGAGACCATATTGAAGTTAAGTCTTTGTTACTTACAGAGTGGGAAGAGTGGTTTGACACAGAGTGTTGGAGCCAGCACAAGAACAACTTGAGTGGCATGGCAATCAGTAGTGAGCAGTACATTTCCCACAGAGCTGCATTCACTCTCCATCATGGTGGCTACTCTTACCCAATGCACCTTGACTGATTCATGTCTGAAGAGTAATGGAAGCAGCAACTGTTAGATTGTTGTTGTTTGTTATCCAGTTGGTGTCACAGTAACAGTACTAGTCAAAACTTACTTTCAGCTCATACCACTGCTCCTTTTCTTTTATCAACCAAGGATGTACCTGTTTTGTGCAGCTTAGCCCCCATCCATCAGTGGCGCTGTGGCAATCACGGCGCTGTCGACAGTTGCCGCAGTGACCTCTTGTGCAGTTTTTGCCAGGTTTCTCCTGTAAATGGTGGTCAGATCGCCGGTAGGCACAGGTGATGCAGTATCTTCTGCTTCGAAATATCTTCCTCACTGGCGCTGGTGTTGCTGTTGCCACTGTGTCGATTGGTCTGGCAATTCGAAAGGGAAAGTTTCCCTGTGGTGTTGTGCCTGTCATAATTCCAAAAGCAACATCAGGATTTAAAACAAGGGGAGCACCGAATGGTGTAAAGCCTCGATTCTCGACATAAGACGTGGGATTGACAGTGTGGGCTTGTCTGGTTGGTGGAAGGCCTTGTCGATTGCCGCGAAGTGTGCTGTCGAATTCCTGCCGGTGTTGGTCATCTTGCCGTGGAACGATTGCTTGAACTGATTCGTACTCCAACAAAGCATCATGATATTCAGTCAGAAACAAGGCAGATTTCAAATGAATTTGGGTAGCTGACTCATCACCTTGGCTCCACATTGTCAGCCTTCTTGCCGCTTCATTATTCCAGTCGCGTTCAAACGCATGGTAGTTGCTGTTTCGATTGCCACCACGGCGCTGGTACTTGTCTTTCATTTCCTCAAACAGTGAGGCTTCCGCTTGATCCAGTGGAGTCATTCCAGAGCTGCTGGATGGGAGGCGAAAAGGAATCCATGGTGAGTTCTCGGTCAGTCTCTTGAAGGCTTCCAGCGTGCTTTCGAGTCGATCGTTGTCCGGCAATAGCTTCTTTAGTTCATCGGCTATGAAAGAGCGATTTTCCCGATCGCTTCTTGCTTGATCATCCTCATCATTTAGGCGAGCTAACTGTTGGTCGGACTCAGCGGTATCACCAGTATCTTCTCCGGCGACTACAACCTCAACATCAAGTTCATCGCCCAATAAATCCAGAATCTCTTGATCTATAATGTCTTCGGTCTCCTCGTCTTCCTCTTCTTCCTCTAACTCATCGGCAGATTCCATTATCTCGTCTGGTGTCTCTGCAGGATTTGAGACGTCGTCAAGCCCTGGCACTAAGTAGTCGAATCCCATAAATTCTTGAGGAGCTTCCTCATCGATCCGTGGAGCACTGACATCCTTATAAGGCAATCGATCTGGAGTATAGCCCACCGCTTTGGCATAAGTGTTGAGCATCAGCAGTCGTTCGGTCTGATATGTTCCATAGTCATCTTCACCCAAACGAATAATGGACTTTCGGTGGTTCTTTTCTTCGAAGAACGTCCAGCACAATCTTTCACCGCGATGTAGTCCTTGATGGTCGCGCAGGAATGAGTAAGAATTTGTAGAAAAGACAAATAGTGAGATCACGTTTTTTTGGCCACTGTAACAATGATGGAAACACTCACCGATATGTGCAGCTGCCAAGAGATTCGCTAAGTCCAAGTTGTCTCTTTCATTGGTGTTGGTGCCTCTCGCCACATAACAGGTGTCGGTAGTTGCATTGTACCTAAAGATATTGACGCATGTCGGATCAGAAAGGCAGCCATTGTCGACATGTTTCAGCTGTTCCTGTACTGTCTTCTGAACCAAAGTAGCGTTGGACTTGAAGAAACGTTTAGGGGCGGGTTGCCCATCTGATGGAGGATTGGTTGACAGCTGGTACACTAACTCGGCATCCTTGGCTTGGCAATAAGCAATCACTGCCTCCACATTTGAGCGAAGGGAAGCTGGATCAGGAATAACAGCATTGGCGTAGCGAATGATGTCTTTGTGACTTGGTTCGGTATCTTTCTTGTTTCTCAAGTGCTCTCTTGCACGTTCGTATTCCCCTTCCTCCACATTGAATAAAGCCCTCGACATCATTGCCCGGAAGATGCCTGCAAGTACAGAAGTCGAATTGGCAAGTATCTCTTTCCACCTTGCGATCCAATGAAACGGATCGAGCAAGATGGAGATGAGACCTGGAAAGCAGCGCTTGATGATATTCCTTACATTGCAACAGTTGTCCACATATGCAACCTTCACTGCTTCGCCAGTGTCAGGAATAGAGGTTGGAAGTGGTTGGTTGTTCTTCTTCGCCAATTCCTGGGCGTCCTTGAGCTTCTTGTTGTACATATTTCGATTCAATCTGGTGTTGAGTCGCTTCAAATCACCTTCGATTTCACTGAAGGATTCAGAGTGTTTCAGGGCTTTCCAAAAGATAGTGAGCCCATCCTCATTCTGCACAGTCACGATGCACTTGTAAGGAGCAAAGCTTTTACCTTGTTTGGTCCATACTCTGATTTTGGCGGCAAGCTTGTAGTTGAAGTCAATCTTCACCATCTCGGCTGTTATTCCCTTCATCTTGGCCTCCTGAAACTTCTTCCGGTGCTTGAACACAGTCATGACGATGCTGTCGATTCGGTGTTTGCTCAGATAACGTCCATTATACCCCTTCTTGTTGTCGAAAGAGCTGAAAAGAGGAGGACGGTTATCTTCAGGTTCAACAACAGCCCTGGCATTTTGGCGTCTTCGCAAGTAGGGATTCCGCTCTGCCCTTCTTTCCAGTTCCGCTTCTTCTTCCATGCGCCTGGAGGTGTATTCAGCCAGTTCATCTGTCACGGTTTCCAGATTTTCCTCAGCAATCAACAGCAAAGACTCCAGTCGGTCCACCTCTGCTTGAAATCTTGCAAGATAATTCAACACCAAATTGGCCCAACGCGGCAGAAGATGGCGATGCCGGTAATGTGGATGATCATTGGGATCAACGTTCAGTAGTTCAAACATAGAGTGAATGTTGGCTTCTTCAATGAGACTGCGGATTTTGGTGGAGCCAAGACCAGGTAGCACATTTCTCGACCCATGGATGTTGTGATTGCCCTTATCCCCCAGCATAGCTTTCAACTGGATGTCAGTTTCCAGGTTGCGCTTGGCGTCGGCAATGTCCAGCTTAATTTTGATCACTCTGCTAGATTTGTCCACCTTCCTTCTCTGTAGCTGTTCCTGCTGAGGATCTGTCACTGGTGCGAAATGCTCCTTCAACGTTTTCTGCTTCTTCTTGCGCCGGATCTTGTTCATTCCCACTGCGGACAAATACAGCTGGTAGTCATTGTAGTAGGCATTGTATGCATGTCGTCTGAGCCTCTTGGCAATGCTCGCAGTGGAACAGGAAGTTGATTCCTCCACGATTTGCGAATACAGTTGCTCATCCACAGCATAGCCATGGCCAACATAGTAGTTGAAATATCCGTAGTAAACCGATGCGTCCAACTGCAGAGATTTCTTGTTGTAACCAGCGAAGTGCTTCTTACAGCGTTGGCAGGGATAAAGGAAGGTGTCGAGATAGCTGTGACGGTCCACTCTGTACAACACCTTGGGAGCATTAATCCACCTGGACCGTACAACATCAACCTGATCCCTCTTCTTACAATGCGGACAGTAGGGAGTGTGGTTCTCTATCAAAAGGTGTGGCACCCAACATGAAATTGTCTTCACGTTGAACTGGTCGACCTCGTGGGTTTCCTTGTTGCTCCGGTTGAGTAGCCCAGAATCAAAACGTCCGCCGTGTGGGCAGATGTGTTTCCAATTGAAATTCTTGAAGAAACTCTTCCCTTCCCCTGTAATGGCCTCTCTTACAGACTTTATGAATCTCCATTGTGCGGCTCCGAACTGCTTTGGTGGTGTTTTGCTTGCCATGGTCGCACTTTCGAGTTACTACTATTAACAAACTAGCGTGGAGTGAGTGGAGCAATGACAGAATTGCACCGGCCACTAGGTTGGGGGTTAGATGTAAAGATTCGACACAAGATTGAGAAATTTAGAAGCAAGATTCACAATATTTGGGACAGTGCCGTAGCAGTAGAACATTAAGCTTAGAAACGGTGCTAAAAGCAGCCGTGTCACTAAATCTGGGAGGGGGGGGGGATTTAGAGGATGTGAAATTTATATTTAGAACCCATCGTGAATGAACAGGTCACTAGTAATCTTTCTCTTTTCTCTTTCTTTTCTCCTCCTGCGCATAACCGCGCTTCGCGCGGACCTCCAAAGGCGAAAGGAGAAGAAACGTCAAGGTCGGCGGCGGGTCTGGAGTCCAAGAATCCCGAGTGAATGAATTGGCCTTAAATCTGAGATTTCTCGAATTCCCGAGCGAGACTAAAATTCTTAAGCCTGGGCTTTAAAAGAATCTGATTTCGGAACAACTAGTATTGGCGTCCTTTAATGCTTCCAAGTCAATGCTTGATTAACCATTCCTCTTTCTGTCGCACCTTCCAACTCATTTAGACAAAAGGGTTGCAGTCACGGTCAACTCGGGAAAAAGTATTCTCACTTTTTTGTTTCGCGGTTCGTTCACTAACCGGCACCTTTGCTTTGTTTGTTGATGGTTGCGAAAGATAGACTACATTTACCGTTCCAGGTAGATAGTTTTGTGCATGGAAGCAGCTTAAAGACGGGTGATCATCAACCAACATGGTGATTGCTTCCACGAGGCGATCTTTCGCTCTCGCAGCGATCCTGGCCAATGCCTTGGTCCGGACAGCGTCGGCTGGTTTCAAAGCGGAATGCTTTTCCAGGTCGGATTGTACGGGACCCGTGTTGGTCAATGGAGATGGCAACTGTTCCATGCCACTTCGCGAGGCTCTGGACGGTAGAGATCCCACCTATCCTCTTGTACCAGGATACCCTTCGGCCTACTACAGGGGTCCAACAATTGGTGGAATTCTTCGAGAAGACGTTTGTGATAGCCGAGAATCGGTCGTCAGTGCTGCTGAAGCCATTCAATACTGCTTTGACATTGGTGCCAAGAGTTCCTGTGAATCGAAGCCCAAAGGATGCGACTGTATGCAGAACCCAATGAGGTAGGGATTACGAGCTAGCTAGCAAGCCGGTAGTATTATAATGTTCTTGAGAGAGTTGGCATTTGTTTTGCACGGTCATTTTCTCAGAGTTGTTGTTGTTTGTGTTGCTTCTCATTAACAAATAAATTCATGCCTACATGTACATACAGTTGGGGCGAAACGCACTTTCGTTCCTATGGAGGTGAAGACTTTGACTTTCATGGAGTTTGTGATTTGGTCTTATTCTCGGCTCCTGAGATGAACACTACCATTCATGTTCGCACAGAACAGAAATTTGAGTACAGCTACATTAGCAATGCGGCAATCCTCATCAATGGCGATATCCTCGAGATTGGCGGTTGGGGCAAAGTCATCTGGAATGGAATTGAAGACTGGGATCTTCCTCCTACCCTTGGTGGATACCCCCTCGCCGTGAAACATATCAACAGGAAGAACACAGTCTTTACCATCGACGTTGGTCATGGACAACAAATCCGTTTCAAGGCCTACAAGTCCATGGTGGCAGTGAGTCTCCAGCTTTCGCAGCATGGTGGTTTCCGTAATAGCGCTGGGATCATGGGATCCGGTGCTACTGGTTTAAAGTTGGGCCGTGATGGCAAAACCGTCTTCAGCGATGACAATGACTATGGATTCGAATGGCAGGTGCGAGATGACGAAACCATGCTGTTTGATGCAGTCCGTGAGCCCCAGTATCCAGACGAGTGCATCTTGCCCAATAGGGACGTGTTTGAGAAGCGCCGCCGCTTGGGAGAGGTCATGGCTCGTGAAGTTGCCGAAAGAGCCTGTGCCAAGTGGGGCTTGAACAAGGAACAATGCATCTACGATGTCATGGTGACTGGTGACCTCGATGCGGCCCAGGCAGGAGTGTTCTAATGGGCCAGGCAAGCGTCTTCTAATTTGTCCCTTGTAGTTAGAGCCTGAATGACGCCCAACACACACTCAAGAATCCACCCAAGTGGAAGAGTTTCCTTGGATCTTCCAACTACTATTTGTTCTATGATTATGAAAGATTTCCTTACATGTGTCTGCACTCGCCGGATGGTGAAGCTTTGCCAGTAACAGCTATAGCGTGGAAGCATGTATGCATATAGATAGATACTGTACCACACCTGTATTAGCGATTCGGCAGTTTGTGAGTAAACTTACTTATTAGTTCAGTCACTTTTTGCTAAAATCGTATGACCTGTATTTTGTTCTACTTTATGACATCCTTTGAAATTGTGATGAAATATTCTAATGAGACACGACATGTACACTGTTCTTCTTCAAAGACGTGGCTTCATTATTACAGATCCACTGCCGAGAACTGGATTTCAGGTGCTTCACCTTTTTCTACCCGTGTGACCATGATTGGCTGGCCAGCTTTGAGGGGTGTTGTCGCGTTGAGTTCTTCCACATTGTCAATCGTCATAAAGGTATCGCCCACAGCGACCAGTTCGGCATCAAAGCTCGTGGCTACTATTCGGGCTGGTGACGAAGACGAAGAATTGGCTCCAGTACCACTGTTGGTTGTCATTCCAAGACCCGCAAATGCCCGCCCTCGCAACTTGCCAAATACGAAAATATCCCCGTCACTCATGACTTCTCCACCTGAGTTGACCGATCCCACAATGACGAGCGACTTTCCCTTGGCCGAAAGGACCTGCTGACCAGATCGTACAGATCCATGATAAAGTGTAGAACTGGAACTGACATCCACAGGAGGAATGGTTGGGTTGGACTCTGGTGTTGTTGATTGTTCATCTTCAGCAGAGACTTTATCTGGTTCCAGAGATGCTGTGTTTGTTTGGTCCTCGTCTGTAGTCACATGAGAGGAAGCTGCGAATCTTTCCTTGATAGATCTTTGCGATACATTCTCTTCTTGCAGTGGATTGTCTTTATTGGCTGTATGAGCAGTTTCTGGTTCTTTGTGGCTGTCGTTCTCTGTTTTTTCAGGTTGCGGATTCTGTCCTGGGAATTGTCGTTGCTTGTGTTGGACTAGCTGCAGTACATGTGACATGTCGAACTTTGGGTCAGAGCCTGCTCGTCGAGGGGCCCATATAGACGGTATGCCCGCTTGAGCTGCTTCTTCGGCCAAGAAAGAAGAAGAGGGTAGCTTTGTGATTCCAATGACGTGCATTCCAAATCTTGACAGCACTGCAATCATTTCGGTCAAGGACCCAGGAGGAGGTGGCTGATAATGGGGAGATCCATCCGGTGCCAAGGCACTGGCATCGAGAATGATGGGACAACACCAGTTGCTTTCTTTATTATTGGGTTGTGGCGTAGTAGTGTTGTCATCATGAGGTGGTGATGGACTTGCCTTTTCCAATCGGTCTCGCAAAGAAACGGGACTGTCGTGTCGTTCCAAGCGCAGCGTAGGAAACAGATACGAAGACCCAGATAGCAACAGAGGACCCTGAGCCATAGCAGCACGAGCACGCACTACTGGGTTCATGCTATTATTGTGCTGATGTCCTTGCTTTCCCGGAGGGGGTAGACCGATCAATCCATCGATGTATTCTTGTGCAGCTGATCGATTTGGGGCGGCATTGTTGGAAGTACTGAATGGTCGTAGGCGACGTCTATGATGGGATGCTCTACTAGTTCTAGTAGTAGAAGCAAAGCAGCTACGGGAGAGGACAAACAGCAGCTTCATGGTCCCTTTGATTGATTGATGATTTGTGGTTGGCGAGAGCTCTCGAATAGCTCGAGAGGGGCAAAAAGCCTTAACGCTATCTATCGGACTCACATTTGCTCCTCTTGCCGTTTCATCGTCCGATTTGACGGTTTGTTTTGGTTGATTTTTCAAATCAAATCGACGCTTTGATGAAGACCAAAAGGGCAGAGAGAGAACCACAATTGCTTGATCATGTCGACTATGAGTGCAATAGATCCATTGGGGAAGGACAATGATGTGGCCACGACGGTAAGTTAGTTTGAGCTTCGATTTTCCATGTAGAGGATGCATGGGTACTCTGTAGAAGTAGTGCTGTAGTGCTCACATTTTGGCATTGCCCGTCTGTCACAGCCACTTCAAACCAAAAGGCACCAGCTTCCCCAGTCGGAAGGGAGAGATCGGGCCTTTGGGACTCCCCTTTCTGGAAATAGTTCCATTCTAGCTGGCAAGAGTGTAACAACGAGCAAAAAAGCCAGAGTGCGACATGCCTCCTCTTCCAAGAAACTAGTGAGGGCCAAAAAGATTGTCCAACAACATCGAAATGGGAATGTCCCATCCACATCCTTGTCCGCCTTTGTGTCGCCCATGGCAGGAAAAAATAACACGGAAGAATTTGAATCCTTCACCTACACGGTAAACTTTCTACCAGGCCCCATGGGATTCCAGCCAGAACCTTCCCACGGTGATCTCGGCTGCCGAGTCCTGGACTTTGCCGATGGTGGCCCTGAGAGCCCAGGGCAGGCGAGAATGAGCAATCAAGTTCAAGCAGGAGATTTTATTGTAGAAATCAATGATGATGTGGTCTCTCATTTGACGTACAATGAGATTGTGGATCAGTTGAAGAGTCAGGCAGACAAACCACGAAAAGTTCTGTTTCGTCGTATGCGTCGTGGTGGCAAGGCAGAAGGAGCTACTAGTTTGGCAGATCAGCTCCAGTTTGTGGCCACACCCAGAACCAACAACAGTCGGCCCAGTCCAACCACCATGCAGTTCAATGCTCAAGGGAAACTCACACCCGTGGTGTCACCTCCCATGGTGAATACCACCGATAGTGACGACAGCAATGCTGCTCCCAACATTCTCTTTGCGGATTCTAAAGAGGCGGCGACAACAACAACTCCATTTGTGCGAACTGAATCATACTCGTCTTTTTCCCAACAGTCAACAACATCACCACGATCGCCGGCCTACAAACTGCTGGACTCACCCGCCAATGCTGGTGATGTCGTACTGGAAATAAATGATCCCAGCAATGCATCATCTGATCACAAAGACGAATCCATTGATACGAGCTCCACGATTTCTCCTTCCAAGGTCAAGAATATGAGCCAGGAAGACTTGGAAATTGGACTAGGACACCGTCTCACCTCCGGTATTACCAGCAAGGCCAATGTATGGAGGAACATGTTCAGCAGTGTATCCAAATTGGGAGGAGCGTTGCAACAGAGCGGAAGCAATAGCAATGCCATGAAGGATGACAAGGACGCAGTGTCTGGTAATGAGGATTATTCCTCCCCCCAGATGCCCAATGTCATTGAGGACACTGCAACCGAAGAAAAGAAGGACGATGAAGCGTATAGGATGCCCCATCATGAACTTGTAAGTTTTTTGCGTATTCTTTGTTGCTGATTACACCGATGTTGTCACACGGCGCTAACAACCAACTGCTAATGTATCCTCTTGCTGCGACTATAGAAGTTGGTTCCATCATTCGGGGCAGCAGCCATGGAACCCGTCAAGCAGGCTCCTGACCTTGTCCAAATGTTGGAACAAAGGCTAACAGAAGCAAACGAACGCGTTCAAGCCCTCTCCAGCAGCCTCGGATCCAAGCAAGCCGAACTGGACCGTCGCTTGCAGCAAGCAGATGAGGAAGCAAACGAACGCGTCAAACAGGTATCAGAGATTCAGTTGGCCAAGCAAAAGGCACTGGAGGAAAAGCTTGTAGAATCAAGTGACATTACAAGGACGAAGGAGGAGGAACTCCAGGGGCTTCAAACGGAGCTCAATCAAGCCAAAGAATCGGTTCTGGAGTTGGCAAGAGAAAGGGACGAGGCACTCACGTCTCTTCGGAATGCCACTGAAACCATGCAAAGCATGAGTACCGAGGAAAAGTCGGCTCAGCTCACCAGCAAAGTGGAGCTGGCCAAGCTACAGAGGGAGCTGCGAGAGTGCAAAGCGGAGTGGAAAAAGGAAGTTGAGGCGGCTAAATCGGACATTGCCACTGCCGAAACGCAACTGGAGGAGGCAGAGAGTCGTCGTCTTGACGCAGAGAGAGAACTGGAAGAGAAAGATGACGAACTCCAAGGAACCAAATGCATGATGGAAACATACGAGGAAAAGTTTATGGAACGCGAAAGCAAAATGGAGGCCATGATTGAAGAGAAGGATTTTGCCGCTCGGGAACTAGCCTTTGCTAGAGCAGAAAATCAGCGCTTGACGGAATCGCTCCAGAAACGGGAGGAAGAGGCCGCTATGGCCGAGGATGAGATTGAGCGCCTCCAGGCGAGTGTGGACATGACGAGCAAAGAGCTTGCTGATCAACAACAACAAGCGCACGATCGAGAGCGTGACCTTCAGGAGCAGTTGACTCGCCGCGATTCGGAAGTGCAGCAGCTGCGCTCGGACTTTGGCAAACTGGAAATGACTTCAGCTGAGAAGATCCAGTCTTTGGAGGAGACGCTCGTGAAAAGGGATGAGGACCTTCGCTCTTTGAAGGATGAGATCGAATCGAACGTGGCGGCTCTAAAAGACGAACTTCTTGCCAAGGACAGACTGCTTGAAGCCACTCAGCACGAAATGGAAGAGCTCAAAACGACAAATGAAGCTTTGCTTCAAAAATACGAGGAACAAGTTGAGAAAGCAGAGGACCTTGCAAAGGCTCAATCCGGGATGCGAACGTCGCTGTATGAGCGAGAGGAAGCTTTAGCCAACAAAACCAACGAGCTGGAAGAAGCCAAACATACGCTTTCATCTTTACAAAAGACCAACGAATCTCTTGAAGCCGATACCAAGCAACTGAAGGGAACTGCAGACGAGCTTTATCAAGAAAAGGCCAGAGTCACAAAGGAATTGCAAACAACAAAGTTTGATCTCAGCGATGCAAAGATCCAGGCCGCCAAAGTGCAAGATGCATTGCTCCAGAGAGCCAAGCAGCTTGACGGCAAGCTAAAACAGTCGCAAACAGATTTGAAGAAGGCGGAGAACCATGGAGCCGCGCTTTCAGGCAGACTTGAGCGGGCCAATTCTAAGATCAACAATTTGACAGCAGAAGTTGAGAAGAAGGATGGTGCCCTTCAAGGAGCATCTGCCACCATCAAGGGATTGGAAGAGACGCGAGATCAGCTCTCACAGCGGGAAGCAGCGCTCAAGGCCCAGCTGGAGGAGAAGGAGGCCGAAAAGCAGCTCTTGCAGGAAGGTTCTCGCGACGCAAAGTTCAAACTCTTCGAAGCCACCAATCGCAACAAGTTCATGCAGAGACAGATCGACGAGTATGAGTCCGGCAAAGCTAGTTTCGAGAGAGAGTTTGATGTGCTGAATGAAGAGATCGAATCGCTCAACTCGAAATTGGAATCACAGCAAGAAGCATTGGATAGCAAATCATCCGAACTCTCATCGAAGTCCGTTCAGGTGATGAATCTCGAATCAACGCTTGAACAGCTGAGAGGGGAACTCCAGCAAAAGTCGGAAGAAATCGATTCCGTACAGAGATCGGTCGTTTCAGCGCAATCACAGTACAGTGCACTCAACGACCGCTTTGTCAAGGCTGCGGAGGAATCGTCCGGCAAAATCCAGCAATTGACTGCAGATTTGATCAAGGCCCTTGACGACGCAGATGACAGCGCCAAATCGCGCACCAAGCTTGACAAGCAAATCTCATCACTGACGCAGCAACTCCAACACTCTGAAGATAAGATCTCTTCGCTTTCTGCCAACCTTCGATCGAAAGAGGAAAGGATTGTTGAACTTGGCGCACTCAATGAATCGGCCAAGAAGGAGTCAGAGGCCGTCATGAATGCTCTCCGGGTGGAAAACGACAAGCTTGGCGGTCTGACCAAACAGCTGGAACAAGAAATTAAAGCCAAGACGAAGGACAAGGGACAACTCCACGGCGAGATTTCGTCGCTTGAGAAGAAACTTGCAAATGCTAGAAGTCTCTTCGGGGCGGAGCAACAGAAGCACAAGACCTACCGCGCTGAGATGGAAGACCTTCATCTTACTCATAAGCAGGAGGTTGCAAGTATGACGAAACTGCTCAAATCGACTTCATCAGACCTGGAAAGTGTTCGAAAAGAGCTTCAAAACTCGCAAATTGGCTACGAGGACCAACTCACGATCATGAGAAAGGATGCTGCAACGAAGGAAGCAAAAGTGACGGAACTCTTGAAGGAAAGGGACACCAAGAATAAAATTCTCGCCAATGTTCACGAGGAGCTGAGTATGGCACAACTCGAAATCCAGCGAGTTGACGAGTCACGCAAAAGGTCTCGAGATGAAGTGGCTCGATTGAACGCTCTCGTGGAAACGCTTCAAAAAGACAATGAGGCCCAATTGGAAGCTGTCACGAAGTCGCACCAAGTGGAGATTGAAAGGTGGTCCAAAAACAACGAACAGCTTGAGATGGCAATTGAAAAGGCTGCGGCAACCAGGAAGAAATTAGAGAGCCACATGGAAAAGTTGGAGGAACTCGTGGAAGAGGAGCGCTCCATAAATGAAACGCTCATGATGGAACAGGACGCTTTGACGTCTAATCTTCATCGCGCCGAAGACATTGCAGCAGATTTGGGCTTTCAGCTGAATATGCTGCAGCAACAATCGGACGACTCTCTTGATAGCATTGACAGCCAAACGCTTGCTCTGTCTAAGTCGGAGCTTCGTGCCAAATGCAAGAATCTGAGCGAAGAGGTCCAGGAATCCGAGGTTCGTGTTGCCACTACTGGTTCTGTCTTGTCACAGAAGCAAGCCCACATCCGGAGACTAGAAGAAGACTTGGCGGAAATGTCCTCCGAACTCGAGCGAATGGTGGAATCGTCGGAGAAGCTTGAAGCCGCTTTGCTCAAGGCTCGTATGGACAAGGCGACTTGTGAGGCTGATGCGGAAGCTCTTCGATCCAGCGTTGATGTCCACCAGGAGAAAACAAGGGCTTTGAAGGAAGAGCTGAATCAACAGTACAGTGAGAATAGCGAACTTCTGGATCAAGTCCGTGACCTGCAACAGCAGCAAGATCAAGCCAAGGAGAGGGAACAGCTCTGGCAAGAGGATCTAGAAAAGGCAAAGCAAGTCATGATGCTCCTGGACGAAGACAAGATCGAAGCACAAAAGGAAAGTTCGTCTCTGCAAGGAGACCTGGAAACTATGAAAGAGCAACGAGAGGTCTTGGAAGCCAAGGTGACTGGGTTGCAGTCCCAGATTGGAAAGCTTGAGGACAAGCTTTCAACTACGGAGAAAGAGCGTGATCTCGTCAGCACCGAATCGCATTCGATTCGAGTGCGTTTAGAAGAGCAGCTCCGAGAACTGCGCAACGAATGCGCCACTTTGACTTCCAGTATTGCATCTTTGGAATCGGATAACGAGACTTGTTTGAGCACCATTCGCAGCATGGAGGAGAACAAGATGGATCTGCAAGAGAAGCTGGAGAAGGAGAGAAAGCATGGATTGCGAGAGGAATCACTGCGAGAAGAGGCAGTTGCCGAACTGACTGAAGCTTCCAGAGTACTCGAGTCTCAAAAAGGAGTTGTTTCCGTGCAAGAAGCTCGTGCTGCGGAAGCAGAGGAGAAAGTGAAAAGATTATCCAGCGAGCTTACCACACTTCGGGACACCATTAACAAATTGGAGAGCGATCGCGAACAAAATGGCGTGATTCGCTCATCTCAACTGGAGGAAATGGAGAAACGACGAGCTCTTCTTGAAAAGGCACGGCTGGCGGCCAAGGCCGAAGCAGATTCACTCCGGGATGAAGTGAGACAGGCAAATCGCAAGGCTTCAGAACTCGATCGCATCAACAAATCGCTCCAATCCAGAATTGAGGATCTTAAAACAACCGCTGAGACAACGAAGGCTCAGTTGCGTGAAGTTCGAAGTGCCTGGGAGGCGTCGGAGAGCGTTGCCAAGAAGCTTGAAAACGACTTGCAAAGTGGTCGTGCTGAGATTGACCATCTCCGCATGAAGCTGCAACTCGGCGGTGCAACTATTGCTCGCCTCAAGTCCGACAGGGTCTTGCTCCAGGAGGCCGCAATGCAGCAAGCGGCAACTCTTGAAATGAGTGCAGAACCGAACACCGTCGCACGAGAGATGTCGAAGTTGAAATCAGAGCTTCACACCAGATCCTCTCAACTGTCGTCCGCCACAACTTCGGCTCGTAATTATAAGCGGATGTGCAACGACATGAAGGTCACTGAGAAGCAGCTTGTGATCTTCATTGACGATATCATTTCCCAGGCAGATGCTACGTTTGTCGCGCTAGCCCATCTAGCCGAGGGCGCCAGAGAGTCGTCTGCGTCGGAAGTTTCGACTTCGGGCACTCCTGAGAAGGTCGTGAATGATGCCAATTGCTGCCTCAGCCATTTCGCCACGTTGATCTCGGAAGCAGCGGAGGAGTTGGAGAACAAGAAAAAGAAGTTGCACAAGTGGAAGGCCCAGAGCAAGATCCACACGACGACTCCTCAGCAGAAGAGCCTCCCCCCCGATGCACTTTTGTTGACGCCAAACCAATCATCGGCGATTCGCGCCTTCCAGAAGATGAAGAGTGTCATTGAAACCCAATTCTCCAAGGCATCCGACTTTCATCAGGTTGAGTCTGCCATTATGTCGCTTGAGAGTCAAATTGATGCTCTCTGCTCGGAATTGAAGGCTGCGAACAACGCCTTGTGCGCCAAAGACAAGCTTTTTGCCGATATCGAGCAGGAACGCAACAAGATTCAAAAGAAGCTGGAACTGGTTTCAGGTCCTGCCAACAAGGGCAACGGCAACAACCTTAGTGCCATTCGAGAAGAGCAGGAATTGTCGGAAGATAAAAAGGAGGAGATGATGCGTGTTGGTGCAAAGCAAATGGCCAAGGTTCTCTTTGACAACAAGGCAAAGGCGGAAGCGGCCAATGCACTTCGTAAATGGTCCAACCTGGCAGCTGCATCGCATGCCGCTGATCAGCAACATCATGCTGCCGCGGCTCTGAGCAAGCAGTTGGAACTGACACGCGGCAAGCTCGCCCAGCTCAAGACACAGTTCAAACGGGGAAAGAGCTCCCAAGTGCAGGCGTAAAGGTACCGACCGGTAGGGGCGAATAATATACTTGTCTAGTTAGCTAGTAGAAAAGAATTATTGAGGTTTAGTTTACAAGAAGGTCCTTCCAGGTATCGGTAGACCGCGTGGCTCTACTAGTATTGTGCTATGTTCCTTGCATCACTGCTGACAGAAGATGTGACTTTCCACGCATTGCACACTGCTTTCATTGCTTCTACAGTACTATGTAAATTGAATAGTTCAAGTAATTGGACTACATTTTGATTGTTACAGGTCCTTGAATGTTGTTCAAGCAGGACAGTCTCGAGTTTGGGCTGTTTTTGATTTTGTTGTCCTCGTATTCGGATCTGGGTTCCCATCCCTGAGAGTCTACAAACTCCACGGCACAGAATCCACACTGACCTCCTCCTCCACAGTTTCCGATTTTGGCCTTGAAACCTCTGTATACTTCCACTTCATTGTCGATTAGAAGTTGTCTCAAATTGTCTCCCACTTTGGTGTCAATGTCCAGGTCGGGTTGTCCGTCTCTCTGGACTGTCACAGTCACTGGAGTTCCCAGGGCAAATCCGTCTTCCTCCTCATTATCATCACTGCTACCGCTGACAACAATCAGTTCCAACTCTACGGGCGAAGGAGCATTGATGATTTTTTCCATGACGGCATCAAAGTCGATGGTAGTGACATCTTCCCCCATGACCGTGGCCAATGTACTTCCCACAATGTCATCCTTTTGGGGACTTTGGGCGGCGGATCCGCCGTCGGCCAATTCCAGGACAAAGACACCCTTGGGAGCTCCTTCTTCAACTTCTTCCAAAATCATTCCCAATGGTTTTTCGAGCGACAGCGACAAGGTGGTTTGCTCCTCATCCGTACTGCTGGTAGACAACGCCAATGCCATGCGTGTGTGGAGTGAAGTAACAATCGAAGGGGTAAACGCATGAATTGTGGTGATGAATAGTGCTGACAACACCACACTCATTACTGACGGTCCTCTCATTATCATCTTCATGGTCAACGTATGTAGTTGTTGGAAAAGAGGTAGAAGAAGCAATTATCCCCGTCGACGGAATGATGCCTCCACAAATAAATGAGTGCCATGGTCGCAAGAGAAGAAAAAAGGAAGAAAAGTTGAAGATTCAGCACTGACGTCAGTCCTTTTTGAGATTTAGACCAAAGGCGCACTTCGTTTGGAAAACACAACACACACACAAACACAAACACAAACAAGACCAATGCCAACCATCACCATCAGCGCCACTACAGTATCACACACACATCATTTGAAGAAGAAAAATGCCACATTCGTCTAGTAGTAGTAGGAATAAGCGTCTCTTTACCTTGGTGGCTCCCTGTGCAATGACAGTGTTCTTGGGCCGTACTTTGCTATTGGGCTTTCGAGGTTGTGGTACCGTTGGAGCCACTTGTTGGGGATCTTCTACCAATGGAATTCGAGCACAACGCCTTGCTCAATTTCGAGGCGGAGGGCAGTCGGAGAATACCAAAAAGATTTACCGGACATTGCAAGTACAGGTAGTCCACAGACACGGAGATCGGTCTCCCATTACGCCATTGAAAGATGAAGACTATTGGGCCAAGACTCTAATACCTCCCGAGCTACTCGACAAAATTTCATCCAATACCAATGTCATTACCACGCCGGGAGAAGAAAACACACATGCAGCTCATGGACGAGGACCCTTTGGAAAACTCACACAATTGGGGCTCTTTCAACTGGTAGAATTGGGCAATAAACTGCGAGAAGAACTAGTGGCACCAGTGACTGAAAACGAAGAGGATGATGAAGATCATCACCTAATACCCGATCCACTCAATCCCCAACACCACAAAATCTATCCGTACCCCTGGCATTCCCAACGACCCCTCCAACCCAGCAATATCAAAATCGTCAGTACCAACTTTCCACGGACCATTCAATCCGTGCAGGGACTTCTCGTGGGCCTGTTTCCCGACGGAACACCGGGAGAAACCATTGACATTGATGCCCGACATACCGAAATACTCATTCCCGATCCACAACCCCGACGGACACCCGAACAAATCCAACTCGAAGCCCAATTGGCCAAATTGCCGCACTTGAAACAGCGAGACTTGGAACTCCAACCGGTAGCGGTCCGCATGACTGCGGCACTCCGGGATAGTCTCGGGGAAGGAGCCTTTGGTGTTTCCTTTGGAGTGGGAGAAGAAAAAGACGAAGGCAACAACAACAACAATCAACAACCCGTCTTGGCATATACACAACTTGCCGAAATTACCAAATGCCTCGAAGTGCGCAATCGTCTTCCACCCACCATTACCAAGCAAGACAAGGACAAAATTGCAACCCACACTGCCTGGCGATGGTTTGAAGCACTCCGTCATCCACGCCTCATTTATCTCGCCATGAATCCCATGGTACAACGCATGGTCGATGCCATGCATCGACACGAAACGGAACCACCCGTCATTGTCTACAGTGCCCATGATTCTACATTGATTGGATTGCTCTGTGGGTTTCGACTCGAACCACCCACCGTGTGGCCGGAATATGGATCCTATCTCAAACTGGAACTTTTGCAAGTCACGTGCCTGCAAACGCAAAGCAAAAGTCATGTGGTCCGATTCTCGCTCAATGGGAATGTGTTGAAGAGTGTCTGGGAAGACGACAAAGAAGAACCAATGGTGGAGATACCGTTGGAGCTGCTCACGCACAAGATCAAGACTGTGGGGGCAGTGGCGTAATATATAGATAGATGCTAGTATATAGCTGTTTGCCAATGCTTCGATAACTTTACTACGGTACTCCGACAAAGAGTACACCAACAATACACACTTCTGTAGAAGTAACTAATTAGACTAGCTAGAGATTGGTGATTGCTTAGTTGTTTTAGCCAAGACAAATCTCTATTTCGTGCTTGGAAATGTCGCGACACAAACCACAACCCTTGACAGCTCCAATGAGAGCACTGTCTGCCGTAGTAGAACCATCCAAGGCCGTCAGCAGCTTTTGCAACAGTTCTGCCACTTGGTCGTTAATCTTTCGTTCGGATATTAGCAAGGCCAACAGGTCGCTGCGATGCCGGGAAACACCGAGCGAGACCACACTCTTTACTTGCTGGAACAGAAGCATCATGGTCAAGTCCAACACACCACTGGCATCATCCGTTTCTTCCAGCAGACGCATCAAGTGTTGACGTCGTGCAAACAACAACTGCTTTTCCGATTTCTTGTCCAATTTTTTAAAGGGGAACCCACAGAGAGATCTGGTAGTTGACAACAAACGACGATGGTGAGAGGGAGAAACCGAAAGGAGAAACCGAAAGTTTAGTGATTCTTTCGCTGACTTCAAACGTTACATAGAACTTGACTTTGACTGACTTACAAGCAGTTCTCTTGGACATATTCGGTGAACTTTTCGAGATCGCCGGGTCTGGTGAATTCGCTGCCCGCGTCATCCACCTTGGATCCTCCTTGGTAGCAACTGCCTCCGCAGGCAACCCATTGGCGTGCCAAGGATACCCCCATGCTACCGGGCAGTTCTTCCCGTAGCTTGGGAAGTGGTTCTTTGACTTTGCCCTTGTTTCCAGAGTCAGCAAGCTGCAGGAACGTTGAAGGGTACTGCCGATTAGCGAGGTCCACGGGAGTGCAATACAGTGGTAGGCCACCGTCTTCTTTGTTGTCGTCTTTGTCGGTGTTGGTAGTGATGTTCGTTGAATGAAATTGAAACATGCTTGGATCAATTTCATTCTTAAACAAACAATATTGAGTCAGGCGGCTTGTAAAGTCCGCACAGCACCCGTCAAGATGCTCATCTCTGAGTTTGTCGAGTAGAAGTTTCTTCCTCGTTGTCGCATCGTCCTCGTTCGGGCACTCCCAGCTTTCAACGTATTCGAGGAACTTGGCCTGTTCTTGCAGCATGTAGCAACCATTGACGAACCACTCTTCAAAGGCACTTTCCACATTGCGTACTTTTGCCGCGGCATCCTTGCGACTCACGCTGGCTTTGGACATGCGAGCCGATTCTAAGCGTTTCAATTCGACCTGAATGGCACGTTGACAGCTCGATATCAAATCATCCGTGTACAAGCAAGAACGGCAAAGCTCACAGAGAATGCTTTCGTTGAGGCTACGATCAATAGCGGTATCTCCAGACATTTCAGCAGATTCGTCTGTTTTCTCCCAGGACAACTGAGGCAACTGTCCATTACTCTCCATCGCTTCTTTCATGAGGGGGTCGACGTCGAGCAGCTCAGGCTGATTCAGTCCCACAGATTTGACAATTTCCGCAAGCGGCACAACGTCTTTGGAAGTTTCAGCATTGCTGTTGTTGTTGGTTTCATCCTGGCTTGCCTTGGAACCTTTCTTGCCCTTTCGCCCACCCTTTTTCTTCGACGAAGATTTGGAAGAGTCAGTTGTCGCAGTAGAAGCCTCGCCCGAAGCATCAATCTCTTCTGCCCGACTCTTGGCATGTTTGCCTATTAAATCTGGCACTATGTTTTTTTGGATGTGCTGAATCATCCCCGTACTGACAAACAGTCCCCCGCTTGACGACAAAACAACGACACCAACGGAAGCAGAAGCCTTTTTCTTTTTCGTTTTGGAGTTCTTTTTGGTTTCATCTTGTTTTGAAATTGACGATATGACAAGCTCTTCTGCGATCTTTCTCGTGTCCTCCTCCTGGTCCAAAATGTCAACTGGCAGATGGCTTTGTAGATCCACAAAGCCTAAAACTGCAATCGCCTCCTGGAAGACTGCCTCCAATGGAGCCAATATCGCGTCAGAGCTGACTACCAAGTTGTCACTCACAAGAACTGCCGAAGGCTGCAAACGATCAGGAAAAAGAACGAATTGAGTCGGTGAATGCTAGTTAGGTGAGAAAGAATCCCAACACGAGCACAAATTACTTACAAAAGACTCCTTTATATAGTCCCCCATTTTGGCTTTGCTCAAACCGAGAGCTGCCCCTCTGGATGCCGTCATGTATCCCTGAGCGCCAAAGAGCTCATCAATGGCTTCGCGAAGTGCTTGCACATGAGCATGTGGTGTATACATGGAACCAATGGATAAGCTAGTTGCGTTGGATCCTCCGTGAAAGTCGCCTGCTAGGGTGCCGTGACATGCTTCTTGCACCCACGTAGCCACCAAATCCACATCCCAGGAACGCTGATGACAAACATCCGAGATCACGACTGGTTCCTGGAGTGTTCCAAAATAATCTAGAACCTTTTGTTTGTACCGTTCCATGAAGCCATCCTCAGCAAGTGCAATGCCCGACCCCAATTCCAAAAGCTGAAATCCTGATGGCAGCCGAGTTTTGAGAGCTTGCAAGGTAATTTCCATCGGCAAATGGAACTCCCGATTGGATAAATCAGAGACCATAGCTAATCCGATATTATCGTCTGATACAGTCTGTTCGTCCTCCTTTTTGCCTTTGGTGGATCCCTGTAATGAGTCAAGGACGCGTTGTGACACGCGATCCAGAAATTCCGAACTCACAATGTCACTTCCAATTTGAAACATGTTGTCGTCCGTTGTATTGTCGAAGTTCTCTTCTTGTAGCAATCTAAGGATAGGCGCTTCGTCCCGCAGTCTCAAAGCTGTTACCAGCTGATTGGTGCTGACTCGACCACCATCCTTCAGTTGAATGCGAAGGTTGGATAAAAGGGCCGGGTATGTGCAGCAGTATGTCAAAGAATCATCGGAGTCTTCCTCCAGAAAGACAACTTGGCAAGCATTATCATCCATGGTGTATGGAGTTGGCAACACTTCTTCTTCTTCTGCCTCGTCCTCGTTGGGTACCGGTATGCCTCGGCGGCAATTGGCTTGTGGAGGCTCTATTCCCTCATGAAAGTATCCACGTTTCACTAACAGTTCCAGCAAACTCTTGACGCCTTGGTTCGAAAAGGACACGTCAGTAGACGAGGGCATAGGAGACTCCACGGTTGGGTTATGTTGGGAGTCTGTCTCTACGCTTGTTGCTTCCTCCATTGCCAACGTCCCCTTCTGATGGTTCAATCAATCGCTTTGTGATTTGCGATCTCGTTGAGAATCTTAGACCGCTTCAGCATGAAACGGTCACGGTACCGGTACCCTAACGCTAAAACCATAAATCGATTGGTGTCAAACAGCTTCACCAGCTTCTCTCAAAAAGCTTCTCGTTTCTGACATCCAGGTTTGGTACCAGGTACTGGTACCGCGTATGGTGCAACAACTGCATCGGTACCAAAACAAAGATGCAGCTGAAGTGAGTATAGTGGACACCGTGCGCCCATTCCTCTTCGCGAGACGACAATGGTGTTAAAAACAGCGCTCCCCTTTTCAGCCCTTCTGCTCCTTGCTCTTGCTGGGCAGAAAGTCTCCGCAACGAGGCTTTCGTTTTGTTGCAGCGACGATGACTGTGGCTCGGCCATGGAATGCAACAATATTCCTGCCGATTGCGACAAAAACGATTTCAACAGTGGTTCCTGTGGACTGAGACTCCGTGGTTGCTTTGCCAGAGAAATGACGTTGGATGTTCATGGCCAAGGGCCCACCGCCATGGAGGACTTGCAAGTGGGGGATCTGGTACGGACAAGAGACAATAAGTTTGAACCGATATATGCATTTGCACATTGGGACGAATCAAGCACAACCAATTCCTATTTGGAGATTACATATTATGAATCATCGATGAACGATGGCGAGCTGAAGGTGACACCAGACCATTTGCTGCATCTGGCCTCAGGTCACCTCATAGCAGCCGATTCAGTTCGTGTTGGAGATAGTCTCCATGGTCCCGGGAATACAACGATGACTGTAGCTCAAGTGCAGAAACTGCAAGAGGCAGCTGGTCTTTATGCTCCGCTGACTCCGTCTGGGACACTGTTGGTCAATGGTCATGTGGAGACCTCCTGCTACATCTCCTTCCAAGATGGCCTCCCTGAACACATACTTCTTGGCTCCTCGTCCGAACTACACACAATGCTATCTCAGCACTGGTTTGCTCACTTGACGCTGAGTCCCATCCGCTTGTTATGCCTTGGTGTCTCGCCCAAGATCTGTCACAACGGCTGGGTCATCTCGCCTGGAAGTGGATATGCGTGGTTCACACTCATTGGATTTGCATTGATGGACTTTCTTGAGAGTCAAAATTGCTTGGTTGTCCAAGTGATCCTTATGGGCATGTTCCTTGTTGTCTTTGGGGCCTTCTGGGTCATTGAATCCATTGCAGGTGCTATTTATGCTCCATCTCTTACTGTTGCCATGATTCTACTGATGGGGATGTGGCGTCGTGGTTGTTTTCGAAGTACATGTAAGACAGAGGGCGAGAAGGAGTTCAGTCTGCTATACGGTAGATACCGTTTGAAGGGCGAAGAGCCAAGTTAGAAGTTGATGCCGTATCAATTTTGGTATCAATAACGAGCTGTGCCAGTACAAGAAGTGCTTAGACATGTGCGTGGCTGAGTACTAAACATCGTGAATTAGAGGACTATTTTCAAATATCAAAACTCCTTGTGCATTGCACTACATCTCTAATATCCCCAGAACGTTGTAGGATCACGCCGCCATGGTTCGGGACGGATCGCAACATCCAGATATTGCTTCCTCCGCCAAATCTCCCATGAGAAATCCACCATCCCGCTGGCACCCTACCGTACGTCTGGTTGTCTGGTTGGTCTGACAAGTGAAAGATTTTCTTGCCTCTTTGTTGCTACGATGCTCCGTACCTGGTATCTTGATAGCATTGACAGCCGAACGCTCGTACGCGCTTGCTCTGCCCAAGTCGGAGCTTCGTGCCAAATGCAAGAATCTGAGCGAAGAGGTCCAGGCATCCGAGGTTCGTGTTGCCGCTACTGGTTCTGTCTTGTCACAGAAGCAAGTCCACATCCGGAGACTAGAAGAAGACTTGGCGGAAATGTCCTCCAAACTCGAGCGAATGGTGGAATCATCGTAGAAGCTTGAAGCTGCTTTGCTCAAGGCTCATATGGACAAGGCGACTTGTGAGGCTGATGCGGAAGCTCTTCGATCCAGCGTTGATGTCCACCAGGAGAAAACAAGGGCTTTGAAGGAAGAGCTGAATCAACAGTACAGTGAGAATAGCGAACTTCTGGATCAAGTCCGGGACCTGCAACAGCAGCAAGATCAAGCCAAGGAGAGGGAACAGCTCTGGCAAGAGGATCTAGAAAAGGCAAAGCAAGTCATGAAAATTCTGGACGAAGACAAGATCGAAGCACAAAAGGAAAGTTCATCTCTGCAAGGAGACCTGGAAACTATGAAAGAGCAACGAGAAGCCTTGGAAGCCAGGGTGACTGGGTTGCAGTCCCAGATCGTAAAGCTCGAGGACAAGCTTTCAACTACGGAGAAAGAGCGTGATCTCGTCAGCACCGAATCGCATTCGATTCGAGTGCGTTTAGAAGAGCAGCTCCGAGAACTGCGCAATGAATGCGCCACTTTGACTTCCAGTATTGCATCTTTGGAATTGGATAACGAGACTTATTTGAGCACCACTCGCAGCATGGAGGAGAACAAGATGGATCTGCAAGAGAAGCTGGAGGAGGAAAGATGAGTTGGTTTGAGGCACTCCCCTGGCCGGCAAAAATGAGTGATGGGTGATTGGTGCTTGCCAATTGCCAAGGGCATCACGGCATCGAGGATGGATCCTGGATCAGCTATCATGCACCACCCGATCACACAGATTTTTGAACCAAGGAGACAAGGAGACCCAAGCTAGCGCAGGATAGCTAAAGCTCGAGAATGAACCGGCCCGTTCGATTCATTCGACTCATCCCGACTCGACTCGACTCGACTCGACTCGACTCAGCCGCACCAGTACCGGTATCGAACAACCGAACAACCGAACACCTCCCCCTTTTAATTACATGTATGTCATAAATGAAAGGGTTCCCTGCCCGCCACACCCCTTCTTTTTCAAAATTGAATGGCACAATGGCCAAAAGGTCCACTGCGCTCTCAAGGCATCCAAGCAGCAAGTAAGTACGTAAGTACTCGTCCTCCGGAGAACCCGAAGTAATAAGAGTCAGGTGTGCCTTAATTGATCGTTGCCTTCGCCACTTTCTATACTGCCGCGTACTTGTATCGTATCGCGGGAGTTGGAGATCTTTTTTGCATGGCCAGTGACCAGGGACAGGGATACAGGGACCAATGCAACGTACCTGGTACAGTACGGTACTGTATGCTGTATGCTGTATGCTGCATAGCGGTACTATCTGGCCACCTTTGCCCCCATTTATTTGATGCCCGTATAGCGTGCCCTTACCGTATTACATGGGATGGGAACAATTAACGGAGGGACTCGGCGTTGGTCGTTGCGGTGTTGCGGTTACATGTATGAGCTCATGTATGCATATCCTTGGGGTCGGCTTGATGGGACTACCTGGTACTGATTGCTGCCTACAGAGTACCGTATGCATACGGTACATGGCTATGGGGAATGGGGAGAGGATACAGAAAGAGAGGTATCAGTTGGGAGTTGGGGGATCGAGATCATTCAGACGGTCGACGTGTTCATCAGCTCACTATTTTATTATTTTAACTTCAATAAAACCTACTTAATTCAGTCACTTTTTGCTAAAATCGTATAACATTTTGAAGTCTTCACACTACGGTACTTAAGTACTTACAGTCAACGCTCGCTTATATTTATAATCTTGTATTTATTCGCTCTATAATATTTAAGAATACTCCAGTTCCCACATTTTTAACTCTAACCCTATTTTAGTACTAGAGCACGTACAATTCTACGGGAATAGTTAGGGTTAGGGATAAAATCAATATTTATTCTCGCTGTTATATTTACTGAATTCCTGAATCCCCCCCAGTATATATATCTGAATGTTGACTGTACTTACTTCTACAGGTCTTGTCTTCACCTTAACTACTATTCTAAAGGTTGACGGAAATTTCGAAATTTCTGCTTTTCCCCATTGAGTTTATTTAACAACTTTTTCCATCCTACGGCAAGGAAAGTCGTGGTGCCCTCAGGAACATTCAAGGAGAATCTTTGTGGTTAAAGGAGCTAATAAAGCACATTCTCCGAATAGGTGAAGCTCTTGTCTTTTGAAGGTGCGAACCCACGCACCACGTTTGCTTGGTTGCCGTTGTTAAGACTGAGTCACAGTCAGTAGGGTCCAGTGACAACGGCTGCAGTTTACGGTACAAGTGGTACGGTGAAAACAAGTCATTGTGCGACTTCAGCCAAGTGAAAAAAGGCGACGAGTCGAGTCCGGAAAGCGAAGGCCGTAAAATAATAGCCACCGAATTGAAGAGCTATTGAAGCTTGGTGTTTGGTGGTGGTCGCAGCATTATCTATCTTTCTTCCTCGTTTGGTTGCGTTCTTCTCCAGGTCATTTCATTTGAAGCGTACTACCAGCATTCTACCAGCAGCTACCGGTACTAGAAACGAAATACGAGAGCCCTTGACGAAGCCAAAGATCCATTGAGCCATTGTTGATAGTAACTCATCGAACAGATCTCATCGTCACAAAGCCCTTGACTTACTCAGTACCATACTGATAAAGCTTGCTACCGTAAAGCAACGGCATTCTCCACCATGGCCAAGTTTTCTGGCTTGAAGGAACAGGTTCCTACAGCTCCTCCTCCAGAAGAAGATTTGGAGAATCCGCGCCAGGAGAGCGCTAGCACAACTATGATGAACAGTGCCAACACTGCCACAACGACCGCCACCATCAAGCAAGTCAATTTCACGCCGTTGCAACTGGAACAAGTCAAGGAAGGCACCGCCGTGCACGCCAAGAAACAAAAGCAACAACAAAAGCAACAGCAAGGCCCGGATGATAATAATGGTATCGTGGACGATGACCGCTCCAAAAGCTCCGATACCGTCGAGACACTGCGATCTCTGACGCGCATGGCCGGTGCCAGTACGAAGCGTGTCACCTTTTTCATTTTGGTCTTGGGATTGGCCGTGAGTGGCGCCTTTTTGGGATTGGGAATCTCCTCCGCCTTGCGAGCGCAAGAAGAAGCGTTTGATCGCAATGCCGTCGATCTTGTCAACAAGATTAGTACGTCCTGGTCCGACTATGTCAACGCCGCCGCCATTCTGCACGGACGCTGTCGCGGTAGAACGTTTTCTCGACAAGACTTTCGAGAAGTTTACGAATATCTCACGGGAGGAGGACTGCAATTCCAAGCGGCGCAGTTTGATCCCAACATTACTCATCAAGACCGGGCGTACTACGAACAAGAAGCACGAGAGTTTTATGCACAGTATTATCCTCACATTGACTACCGAGGAATTATCGGATTCAACTACGACAATTCCACCACACTCGATCCTCGCAACAATGCATCCTATTACTTCCCCATTCATTACATGGAACCCGTCGTGGGCAATGAACGAGCCATTGATCTCGATTATCACGCCAGTGGATCCCGCAAACGCACCGTGCTCTATTGCATGGACCATGGCAAACCGGCGCTCACCGATCGACTCTTTTTGGTACAAGAAACTGTCGAATCGGCCTACGGGGTCGTTCTCATGCATCCCGGTTACAATCTTACTTCGTCGTCGTCCAGCAGCAACAATAACGAGACGACAGTGTGGCCCAAAGACTTGGCATCCATTGTCATTCGCATTCCCGATTTGCTGCGACGAGCCACGGACAATCAGCAACATCCTTCTTTGGTGTACGTTTTTGACAAGTCCGATTCCAGTGGAATACCGCTCTTTTTAGGGGGTGTCAAGATTACCACCGATGGGGACGATACAGAAGAAGGAGAAGATTCTAGTACCACACTCGAGTTTGTCCAAGAAAAAGAGTTGGAGGAAGTACAAGGAAGTTCGCACATTTACCAGGAGTATGACATTGAAGTGGCCAACAAGCTCTGGACCGTGTCCGTTTTGGCACTGGACGGGACCTTTAAACCGGATATCGTCTTTGTCATTGTCGGTGGAGTCTTTTTCTTCGTGGCCACCATGGGGTTGGCCTACTGGGTCCATCAAAACACACATCGGGTCGCCAAAATCAATCGCTTAAAGGCAGAGGCCGAAGCGGAAAAGGCAGCTCTCATTATCGAGAGTGCACGAAAAGCGGCCGAGGCGGAGCGAGAACTCAATGATTTCATTGCACACGAGGTACGTAATGCATCGATGCATGGGATGTGATGGAATATTTGTGTGTGTTTTATGCCATGGCTAACTACGTTTCTCGTTATGGTAGGTTCGAAATCCCGTGGCGGCGGCCATGTCGGCCTGTAGTTTTGTCAAAACAGCTATCAACAAGAAAGAACCGTTCAAGGATCCCGAATCCCTCGCCACCACAAGAGATGATGTGTTTATTATCGATAACGCACTCATGTTTGTGAACGACTTGGTAAGGATGAATCAATCGAATCTTGACTGACTGTTGCCCATAGACTGGTGAACTTACTTTATCCCTCACATGCATGTTGCTTGATACTGTACGTACTGGTACTAATCCGCTCCCTCAGCTTCGCAATATGTTGGACATGGTAAGATCTGCGTTGCAGTATGGAATGGATTTGTATCATTTTGGTGATCATGCATGAACGGACGTAAATCTCACGGCGACACAAAACTCGTTGCAAATTGACAGCATCGCGCGACAAATAATCAGCTGAGAGTGACGTTGTGTGCTACAGATGTCCTGCACGATGTTCTGGAACCAGTGCGAGCCATGTTGACCCAACGGGGAGGCAAGGTCGATGTTCAAATATCCTGTGATCAGGCAACATTTGCCATGGCAGATCGACTGAGGCTCAAACAAGTCATGCTGAATCTTGGTCGAAACTCTGCAAAGGTGAGTAAACGACTTGTCGCGATTGAGAAGGGACCAAATAATTGCAACAAATGAGGCAACAACTAACTTGAAGGTACTGCCCACACACGAAAGTTTGTCGATGAAGGTTTCATCCGATTAACCGCCAAGAAAGTTGATGGCGGAATTGTTGAATTGGCGGTGGAGGATTCGGGCCCGGGGGTCCCCAACGAAAAGAAGAAAATGTTGTTTCAGAAATACCAAGAAAGTTTGGACATGCTTAGTCAAGGAACGGTGAGTGTTGCGCACAAACGGGGTTGCATGGTTGAAAAACCAATCCTATGAAGTGTGAATCCACTGACTCAACTGCTTTGATAAACAGGGCATTGGTCTTTTCCTTTGCAAGAATCTTGTTGATCTCATGAATGGACACATCTACCTAGACGGTAAGTCATGCATTGTAATGTTGAATGCCAACGGTCAGACTTCTCAAACTGCACAAACCAAACCGCGCCTTTGAAAACCCGAATAAAACTCCACCTTTGAAAACAATGACCAACGGTCACAGACAATTTTGACTGCGGTTTACCAGGTTGCCCAGGTACACGTTTTGTGGTCGAATTGCAGGTTCCGACGGAAGATTGTATGCCCAGCGAACTGGAACACTTAATCCACGGCGATGGCGCCAGCAAGAGTTTGGAATCGACCGAGTATCCCAGTGAGCTCCCAGCAAACCTGAATCTTTTGTTTTGCGATGACGGTGAGTCGATTTTGAGTGGATATGTGGACGGGGGCAAGTTTCGAGACTCACACCTTAACGTTGTGTCTGGCAGATCCGATTTTGAGAAAACTCTTCAGTCGAACTGTTAGAACTGTGGCCCCTGGTTGGAACATCCGTGAAGCGTCGAATGGAGAGACGGCGTTGCAGTTGGTAGAGACCGTAAAGTTCGATCTGATATTCATGGACATGTACATGGCATCTGTACAGAAGCAGCTCTTGGGGACAGAAACGGTTAACGAGCTGCGAAACAGAGGCGTTACCTGCCGAATTTGCGGCCTTTCGGCCAACGACAAAGAGGCCGAGTTCTTGGAAGCTGGTGCGGATGTATTCACCTTCAAACCCTTTCCTTGCGAAAAGCGTGCTCTTCGCCAGGAACTGATCCGAGTGTTGTACTCGCAAGCGGGGGATCTTGACACCGAGAGAGGAGCGTAAGTCTGGGGGGGGGGAGGGCTTTTTCAAAAGCTTGGATTTGGAAACTGAACTGAGAGTCTGCATCAAATCACCGATGCGGTTTCAAGCAATACAACAATTCTCCCACTGCAAACTGGCTTTGCACAACACTCGTGGATCCGACATCACTCAGAACAGCAGAGACTTTCATTTACTGCATATAATCACAGGCTGTCTTGGCTCGGTACACCAGAGATCGTCATAGTTTTTCATCGGATCGATTTGGTTCGAACCTGCAACCACAATTTCCACTCAACGCACAGTGTTGCAGCCAGTGTGAACACTTGGGCTCTTCCCTTTCCCATCATCAGCCCTTTTAGTACCATACACAGCTTTACAAAGAATTCATAATTTGACCATCATTCACCATTTTGAAAGCCCACGGCCAACAGCCCGTTTTTTTTAAAAACGCGGTACTGGTTACAATACAACAACACGCACATTGCGTACGTGCAAGGCTAATATTATCCACTTTATACCACCAAAGTCCTGATTCTAGGCTGTGCTGCTCACCTCTACTATAATAGCTAGGCTGAGTTTCTTCCCGGATCCAGCAAGGCTTGCTCCCTTGTAACAGGAGAATGCATGCCATTGCTGGAGCTTTAAGTTTCCCTTCAGTGGCTACTGGTACCTGGCTATGGTAAAAGGTTGGGCAGGTTCAGCAAGAAGCAGAGGTTGTCGCAAACTCCTCACATCATGCAGGGCCTGCGACACGCATTGGTCCAGAGTCCAGAGAGCTGTTGGGCTTTATTTGTTGAAAACATGTACTGAAATGTTGAAAAGTCGTTTTGGTGATTAAGTATCTTTGCAACAGAACCATTCCCTTTAAAGCTTCGATCTTCACTTGCTCACAATTGTCATCTGGTATGAGGTCTCGAGATCTCGTCGCTCCACATCCTGTGACATCACCACCGATGACCGAAGAGAATAGGACAGAGCACTTCATCCTGCGGCAGAAGCTGCTACGGTATCAACGACCACGGGATAGAGCAACTCCTTTTTAGACTGTACCCTTCCTGACCATGGCCGAGGAAGAACAGCCGACCATGCCTGAAGAAGAACAGCCACCCACCGAGGTAGAGGCCAATCCACAAGAGGATCCCCTCAAAGATGGCATTAAGTCGATGAAATCCATGTTTCGAAGTGACGCACGGAACGAGTCCAACAAGTTGTTCCGAGAGTTAGACGGAGACAGGAGCAAGAGTGCTTCTCATGAGGAGATTGCCAAGTTTGTGGCCTCCAACGATCAGCTATGGGCTCTGCTCAGTGTCAATTTGGATCAGCCTAAAGAGGTTGCTACCGAGGTGGCAACTCGAGTCGCCATGGAGCTCGCAACGGAGCTCAAGGGAGAAGAAGCCATGAATGCCGAGCTCAACAAAGACCAGTTTCACAATTTCCGCAAAAAATACATTCTAGATCCAACGGGGTCTCAAGAGTTCTTCTTTCGGGCTGTGTTTGCTTCGTTTGATAAAGATAGTAATGCTGTGCTGGACGAACAAGAGCTGGATCAGTTTCTAGAGATCTTTTACAAATCGGGGTCTACCTTTCAGGGATCCATGGGGACACTCAAGTTACCTCCGAAAGAGAAACTCCATGAAATTTTCTTGAAAGAGTTTGATGAAAACGACGACAAGGAGCTCTCATTTGAGGAGGTACGAGTGATCATTAGCGGCCAGGTCAACCCGGACGTGGCCGCCGAAATTGAAGTAGCTGCTGCCAAAGCGGAAGCCGAGGCGATCGAGCGTTCAGAACGCCTTGAAGAGGAGAGGCTCGAACAAGAGCGTTTGGAGAAGGAACGCCTCGAAGCGGAGAGGATCGAAAACGAGAGACTTGAAAAAGAAAGGCTCGAGAAAGAGGAAGCGGCGAGCGCGGAGAACGCGGAGAAAGAAGGCCTGGAAGCGGAGAGAGTCGAGAAAGAAAGACTCGAGAAAGAGAAGCTTGAAGAAGAGAAAGCTGAAGCTGATCGCATCGAAGAGGAACGTCGAATGCGACAACAGGAAGAAGAAGAACAAAAGAGAAACGAGGAAAAGCTGCAGGAAGAGCAGGCCAAAGAGAAGGCTCCGGGGCCAAAGGAAGTTTTGGTGGAAAAGGAAGAAGACGATTCAGGGTGTCCGTTGTGTGAGTGGTTGTTCGGACAGCCAACTCCGGCCAAGTAAGTATCACATGCTACGACCTATCCGCTGACCGAAGCAACGCATCTGTACCGTGGGATCAATACCTTCGATGGCAGAGAGGCTAGAAGACACAAACGTAAGAGAAATCCGTGAGGGCACGAGAACAGCGATCAGCGGTTCAGAGGAGGGGTTCAATACGTTTGGATACATATCCAACGTCCAGCTACATGTAATAGACAGAACAAAATGCATCATAGTTTTTGACTTCATATTGTTTTTACAAGAGGACGCAACGAAGACCATTGCGCTGTGGCGTCATGCGGTCTTTATACGTCTTTTCTTCCTGTCCGTGACCCCGTCACAAAAGGTCGGCGGGTTCGTAGATTTTCGATTGAGCCACATGCACGATTACAGGCTTCGTTCGATTTGCGGCGTCCGGCTCCTTGCGTTTAGCTCTGTAGAGTTCTGTAGCGTCATGCCGTCTGCACGTCTTTTTCTTCTTGTCCATGACCCCGTCAGGGATGACAAAGCTCGTACCGCCACATAACGGTGCCGGTAGGGGTGCGACGACAACCAGCCACATCCAAATTTACAGCATCGCATCGTTTTACTTAATCCGTCCAGCTACCTGCGCGCCCCATTCCGAGGACATTTCCTGGTTCTGTTTTTCTTCCGCTGCCAGAACAGACCGTACTTGCATGAGCGACCAACCAAGGACGTTGCACCCACTCCATCGGTGCGGAAACTGGTATATCTCGGGCATTTTGATGCTGACACCAATCGCCCACGTCTTGTCCCTAGCCGTTGCCTCACATAAGATCTTGTCGCCCGTACTCAGAAGCACATTCCGTAGATGTGAGGATGAGGAAAACTTTTGTCGCAAGACAGCTACGGCCACACCGCAAACAACATCGCCCCATCGTCCAGCATCCAGGGCAACCCGTCGCCCCAGCATCTTTGCTGCTTTTGGGCTCTCTGCAGCAGCAATTCTGTTGTACATTTCCAAATCGCCCATCACAGCAGCCTTACACAGCATGATCGCTTTCTCGCTATTATCACAAGGGACCATGGGGGCAAAGTTAGCTTGTTCCTCCTCCGTAACACCAGCAATATCCAGCAGCCGGAGGGGCAGCCAAAAGTCGAAAGACCAGTGCTTCTCGAGGTACCAGTTGGAAAACTCTCTCCATGGATGACCCTTTCCATCTTGGTAAAAGACCAAAGCATCAATTCTATCATGGCACGAGCTCCATCGTTGTGACAGCGTGCTGGGTGTTTCGCCCGTCATGATAACCCAATGGGCGGGGTCCTGGTTGTGCTCCTCGGTGGCCGTCCATTGTGGCGTTTCCTCGACCTGGACAGCACTTCTCGCCACGTTCCTCTTTGCTTTCTTGCCTTTTTTCATCTTGTCTTCTTCGGTACCGGTAGCATCCACTTCTATTTGTTGTGTGTTGTGAGCCTCGCGGGATCAGCAAAAAAAGCCGCCCCCTCGCTAGACCCCCACGACGGGGGTTCGTCAATCATGCAAATCAAACACGTTTGGATAAAACGGCTGAGCTAGCCTCTCACAGGACGATCTGAAGGGTCGATGTCCCTTCGGTGCACAAGGACCAGCACCATCAAGCTGAAAACCACCATGATGATATCTCTTTCCCGGCCCCTCCTTCTTTGACGCCTTCAGTAGTCTAATAGCACTGTATGACTAATCCTTCACTGATGGCCCCTCTGCTTTGTTCGTCACCTCACGCTCTTCTCGCCGTGCTCCCTCGCCAAACGAACTCCATCAACACTGGTAGTGGTGTGCACCATGTACCCACGTCTCATCGGAAACAGAAGACGCATCAACGACTCACCAAGCCAACAACCACCACAACAACATCCAACAATTCCATAAACCCAAAAGAGAGATCCATAGACACCAGCGCAAAATTTTCCACTGGATGACCTCAACTCAAGATATGACGACTCAAGATATGACGACCCCACCTTCCTGGTGTGGCATTTGTTCATTGGATTTGCAGAGCGGCAAGGCCCTCAGTGAACATCAAAAAGGGCAAAAGCATCGGAAACGAGCCTATCGAGCTGGTTTGGGACCCTGTCCTGCCAGTATGGATTTCACACCCACTGTCTTGGAGGAAGATGAATTCTTCGAAAAGCTTGCGAGCGGCGCCTACAAAAACATTGTAGTTTTGACCGGTGCCGGCGTCAGCACAGCAGCCGGCATTCCTGATTACAGATCAAGCGGAGGCTTCTTTGAAACCTTCAAGAAAAAGTATTCGGGTCGCTTTCCAGGGGTGGAAGCGACGCCGGAAACCCTCTTTTCGAGGTCGTTTGTGAGAAAATATCCAGACGTATGGGAAAACGAATTGCTGCCTCAAAAGCAAGCTCAATTCGAAGGCCTGGTGCCTACGTTGACGCACCAATTTGTGTCCCACTTGGCCCATAAAGGATGGCTGAAGAGGGTTTACACACAAAACATTGACGGGTTACATTCACATCCCTGCCTGGGAATTCCGGAAGACAAAGTTGTCGAGTGCCATGGATCGATTCGGAGGGGAGATTTGGTCTTGTATGAAGATCCTCTTCCGCAACGCTTCTCGGACATGGCCGCCAAAGATTTCAGCCCAGCTGGATGGGACCGGGAACGTGTTGATTTGATTATTGTGATGGGGACGTCCTTACAGGTTGCTCCCTTCTGTGCCCTTCCAAATATGGCCCCGAAGGGCTCCGCGCGCGTATTGGTAAATCGGAACTTGACGCACTGCATCACCAATCCCTTCTCCGCTCAGAGCTGGACCGAAATCGGGTACTCAACCAGCGTGGCAATGAAGATCGGTGGCCGTCAGAACGTGCCGTTGGCTTCCCTCTGGATGAACCGCGACAAGATACGAAAGAAGAAGTGGCAACAGCTTTTGGTGGAAGACGACTGTGATGATTTTGTTGGAAGGTACATGGACAAGACAAATACCCAATTCTAGCGGGTGGCCCTCGGGAGTATACAATATAAAACTAGAAATCGTTTTCGACGGTGCTGTGCTTTGTCTGGACGGAGCATCAGCAACGATGCATCAGCACCCGGCTTCTCACGCCTCCCGCAATCGCGATTGGTGTGCGTCTGTAGGACAGCTCTCAGTGCGCCGGAAGTCGTTTCACGGCACCGAAAGTCGTTTCATGGCTCTCCTCCCCAGTAGTTTTTGCGCTGGCACCAATTCGAGGCCGGGCATGGCGTCTATGGTGCTGTACTATTTCAGCTACCCCGACAAAGACTTCTTTTGCAGCCCTCAAGTTTCAGGAACGAGCACTGGGAGTTACGCTAGAAAGACTCCAGCGCGCATCCGAGCTTTCTGTGCCGAACAAACCTGTGAAGTCATAAAGATTTTCAGTTCTTTCCAGCTTCCTTGGCTACCGTGACATTTGGAATAAGACTTCACGCATGGTGCCCGGGTCAGGAAGGCTTCAACCGCAGGTCCGAACGCAACACTGATTGGACGCAACCTTGGTCGCAACACCGTCACATTCTCTTGAGAGGATCCAAGCCAAACAGAATTTTAGATTAAACTGACCACATCAAGGTAACAATGACAGAACTTGGCTCTCGAATCCCATCCCATGCTGTGGGTTTGTCCTGACCGTCATTGGTCCAAGAGGCTGGCTCGACAGCCGATTATATAAGCCAGTAGCGCTGTCATCAATAATGGCTCCAGATCTCGATCTTTGGCACCCCAAGAACCCTCTCATGGACACAAACCTTCTTTTTCTCTTTGCAAGGAAACAAAGACCACAATGGACGCTGAGGAATCATTTCAAGCAGAGGGTTCTGGTGCACCGGAAAGTCCCGATCCAGTAGCCAAAGGGGAGGAAGGAGAAGAGGCTTTGCTAACGGATGAAAATGAAGAGGGTATTCCGTTGGAAGACGTAGATCGAGTTGGACGCCGTGTCGAACTGGCACTCTGTGTGCTGTATGTTGTGGTGGTGATGGTAATCTTCCAAGGTCCATTGAATATAGAGCCTACCGAACGTCCTATACCAGTGCAATATCTGGAATCTACTGGTGACTATATTCGAAACCTGAGTCTTGATGCAGAACACAATGGAGAGACCATTTCGGATTTTGTCCTGATTCTCTGTGGAGTTTTGCTTCCACTGATTTTCCAGCTGATTTTGGCATATGTTGTCCATCGGCACTCTGATGCTCTGAAAGGAATCCAAGATCGTCATTGCACACTGTGTGCATACTTTACCTCTTTCGCCACCAATCTCATGGTCACCGAGTTCCTAAAGGCATATTGTGGGTCTCTGAGACCTCTTTATTACTACCTTTGCCAGCCCGACGAGAAGTACGAAGTATGCTTGCAAGAAAGTGGAAGTTTGGCCCGAGATGCTCGCAAGTCATTTCCATCGGGTCATGCCAGCATTTCGTTTAGTGGCCTTGTATTACTGACTCTGTACCTGAACCAAAAATACGGGACCGACAGTCTGCGCAACAACAATCCTCCACCACAAGTGGAGTATTACCGAGCCGTTCGCAAAGCCCGTTGTATGTCACTGGTCGCGTTGTTACCCATGGCATTGGCTCTGTTCTTTTCCTCCTCTCGGCTCCACGACAATGAACATTTTGCGGGTGATGTGGTGGGGGGAGCAGTCATTGGTTTTGCCATTGGCTACTACTTCCATACCAACATTTGGTTCTGTCGGGGATATCAGTGAGTGGTTATTTCAATCAGCAAAAGATGAGCGAATCATGCTTACAGGTGAACGAATGATGTGCCGCCATCGTTGTACATGAAAATATGGGACAGCCAATACTGGAATTGATCCTGCTGAAACAAGGTTTTGACGGCGGCACTACCCCTTGGAAGCAGCAGGGGATACAAAATGCTTCATATAGGAAAAAGCAACAATCTGGGCAGATAGCATTGCGGATCTTGAGCTGTTCTTTGAGCTGTACAAACGCAAAACGCATGGACTCATCCGTAAGGTCTTCCCGTAGCTATTAATTATTACCGTAGCAGCAACTATGATTGAAGATTCATCTTTCATTTTCGAGACATGACTCTGTAGCTACTATGCAGTACTGTGCATACTATTTTTCGTGTTTGTTTACTCTAAGCCACATCTGTGAGGAAGTGCCACTACGGTACATGCAGCTACCGGTACCATGGTACCAAGTACCTCTAGCTAGCGTTGCAGTTACGACTTTGGTCTCTCGAGAAGACCTCTGAAAAACAATAGCATCCCGGTCTCCTCTTCTTCATCAACACCACTGGCTTAGCGTTAAACTACAGAAGGGTGAAGGTTTTTATTATTCACGATCCACCCAGCTGTTGCCTCCTTCACAACACAACGCCAATGGTGGCTTGACTATTTGAATGCAAACAAACGCCAAAAGATCCATCCAACTCTCACTGTTAGCATCTCCGTCGTCCTTTCCCAGCCATAAAAAGCAGCAAGCACTTGTGTGGCACCCTTGCTGAAAGTCTGATTGAAGAGACTGAGAGGCTTGTCTGACTGGCTAGACTAGTCTCAAGTGTTTCTTTTTTTGCACCGGCTATCGTTCGCCTTCCATCCTTGATTGATTGATTCGATTCACAGTATGGATCCAAGCGGCATGAAGGGAGGCGGGAACAATCGCAAGAATCGCAGCCGCCGTGACGAAAGTCAGACGGAACTTCGACTTCGCCAGCTGCGAGCTTCGGAAGGTCGCACCTTGCGTTCCACCAGTAATAACACCAACGCTGTTCGTCCCGAAGAAGCACCCTCTTCCATGAGTAATAATCGCCGTCGTAGTAGTAACGATC